ATGGCAGCGCTGCAAAGAAGGAGCGGTACCATCATCGCATTTTCTGTGGCCCGCGACTTACGACAAACAAGTATGATTCTAGTTTACTTCAGGACGACGTAATATGCACTTCCGGTCAAAATATGCTACTTCCGGGATTGGTAAAGGTATGATTGGGAGGTTTGGGAACATACACATATGAGAAATAATTAAGCACCACTGGATTCCAAAGTTTGTAAATTGTGCTCCAAACAGATCACACCCCAGCATGCTGGAGTGCACAAGTAAAGCGCGTGCTACACAAAATCTCAAAAACTATGTGTCACATGTTCATAAATTGAACCCAGCACAATGGTTCCCAGCACACTAGAGAATAATTTCTTCTGGACTTCTTGACATGGCAAGACGAAAACTTTCAGAAAACACACGGTTGCATGATAATATTGGCTTGCATGACGCAACATCGGTGTTAACATTAACCACACGGTAATCAGCCGATAACCAGTGAAGTAAAGACAGTCCATGACCTGGTAGACCGAGGAAAACCAATGACCATTAGCGGTTCTAATTCGTCCAATTATTCAATGTATAAATATCGGAAGAACTGCGCCGGCAGTGGAGAGTGGCATTCATAACTACTCGTGTCATTCCGGCAAGCGGGATGGCGTCTTCTTGTAGGTCACGGAAAGAGGCGAGTAGTTACGAATGTGGAGAGTGGGTGTCCGGCTCTCCATCATTCGTGACCAACTCGTGTTATTCCGGGACAAGCCAAATTCTGAAAGGGGCGAGGATACGGAAAGGGGCGAGTGGTGACGAATGGCTTTCCATCAGAACCATCGGAAGGAGGCTATTGGCTACTGGTCTGAGGGAACCTTGTCCGACTACTCGGACTAGACTTGTCACAGGCAGAGTTTCTGTGGCGTAGGGTTCATTGGTCTAAACCAATGGGATAAACGTTTCGAGTTGCACAGCAATGTCGGCTACCCACTGGTCAAAACCGGTCACGTGCCGTAGTTATAGTTTGATATGTTAAACTGGACCATGTTATGGGAGTTATCTCCCTTGTTTGCACTGTTTGTAAAGAAATCGTCTCTCTCTCTGTTCATTAGCGAGTTGGCGATTCTGAGAAAGAACGTATGGGAAAAGCCATCCACATATTTATCCATCCCCTTGACTGTCGTCCGATATTCATGGATGACAATGGCAGACCTCACCGTTCTTGCCTATTTGCAAAACAACGCAATTACCATTGCCCGCAAGGAGCCCCAATATGATGCCAAGTTCGATTCTTCTGTTCAAAATCTGCAGGAATTGACGCAGGCACTCCATGAGGACTTGGAGACAATTCTGACACTGAGAAATTGCCAACAAGATGAGGACTGGTAGATATCCTTGTGAGGAATAGCTACACAAGGTACTAAAGAGGGTAGTGCTTCATTATTGCTTGTGTAAACGTAGGGTTAGGTGTGTTTTTTTATCCTTTATACGTTCAGCTAGAAAAAACATCACAACTATCAACGGTCTCAATGAAAAATAATGTCATTTCATAGCTGTATACCCAACATGTGTCCAAAAGTGAGAACCATTAAAAGCCGGTGAGGTCCAGGGGCCGAAGCCCCCGGCCTAAAAAGGGTTTGTTTTTTTAATTTTGACTGTACTTTGGAAACTTCTGCTGGCAACTTAGCACTTTTGCGAAAAGATGTGAGATTTAGTATACTGGCTGTGAGAATGTGATTTTCATAAAAAGAACGCGAGAGACTCGCGGCAAAAACGTGAGAGTTAACAAATTTGGAATGTTCAATATGGTTGGCTGAGCGAGCACAGCTTTCAGTTTCACGGCTGATAAGTCCTTTACCAACACCAGTGTGAAGACAACAAAAGGAAATAACAAGCAGCCCGTAATGTCAGCTCACTTTATTCTCAAGTGATACTTGGGAGGCCACACAACCAAACAAAATTAGTAAATTCTGAGTATCGTTTAACAGTAGAAATTACGTAAACGAATTATTTGACAAATTTAAGTACAGGGCTGATGCTATGGTGTATATGTCGTGCTGGTGTGTGGTCCTGTGCATAGAGTTGACGTCATAAATCAGTTGAAGTTAAGCAACGTTGAATGCGGAGAGTACTTGGATGGGTGACCACGTTTGGCAGCTTGACTCCTGATAGGTTCTAGGACTTCAGTCCTGCCCAACAACGAAGCACATGTTATACATGTGGTCTCACCGCAGGCAAGTGAGTTTGTTCAAAATTGCTTCTGTTCACCCAGCAGTAAATAGGTACCCGGTGGAATAAGTCATCTAACTAATAACCTTTTCGCGCCTCACAGACAGCTTGGGTTATCGGGGATAATAATAATCAAACTGTACGCTTTGCGCCACCTGCCCTAGCTCGTGTCTTTGCGAAGATTAAAGATTAAGAAAAATAATTTTTTGAGATGACCCCCGACTCGAAATGCCTCACAGTACAATACATTATGATCATTATGTATTGTACTGTGAGGCATTTCGAATCGGGGGTCATCTCAAATTTTTTAGATTTTTTCAAAATCTTTAATCCTCGCAAAGAGCAGGATATGAAGCCGTTATAAATATTTGAGTTAGTTGGTTGTTTACCTCACTCGGCAGTATTCAATAATGACACTCTGTATAGCACCACGTCCAGACCAGACTAATCAGTGCAGGGACTATGAGCAATAGTCATCCGGTGATCCGGTCAGACCACCTGATCTAGGAACTCAGTTCGAACCAAGAATTCCCACGTGTCGGAACATATATGTTGACTGATGAGGTCAGACAGTGGATAGAACTTGCACATGCGTATCAGCCCTGACAGGTGAAAAACCAATCAACAATCAAAATATACGTTCAAGGTTTATTGAAGATTTCATACGAACTCATAAATATGATGAGCGTTGAGTAACAGTAAGATTAGTCGTAGTTTCACTCTGAATATTATTGAAATATAGGAAGCATATGTTCAAAACATAAACGATGTTCATTCTAATATATTGCACGTAATATCAGCTAAATCCCAATCGTGAGTGATGGCGCTGTGACTGCTGCTGCTTGGTAATCAGTCATATCATGACATTTCAGTTGGAGGTCGGGAAAACCCACCGTGTGTTGCAGTAATGCAGCAAAGGTTTTAGCCCTCATACACCAAACCCAGAAACAAGGAAATCTTGGATTCAAGCATGATATCACAGTTTTACCGGCATCCCAAATGGACAACTTTCTACAGTGAATATAATGCCTTCTGCCCTCAATTCCCAGTAATAAGGCCAAAAAAAATAAATGTTGTGGTTCAGATTTCCTACATTTCAGAACTAGGGTAGGTAGGTAGGTTTGTTGTTTTATTTGCAAAATATTTTTACATTACTCATGTGTCAAAAAATAAATTTAATTTATTATGTGGTGAGTAAAATTGTTAGGCTCGGTGGGAATATTTAGGCTCGGTCGGGAAATCGGAACCACAAGCTTTTTTTTCTAGGCCTAAGTGATCAGAATCCGTCTCCATGCAACAATGTTGTACAATGTATGTACTGTCATTCCAATGAATGAAATGCTGTTTCAGGTTTTGGAAAGGTGCCTTTTACACTTGCATTACACCTTTCTGACATAACTGTTATGAAGAGGCAAGCAGTAGTATTGATAACTGGAAAATGGGGATAAATTTCAAATTAAATCTTATCTTATTTCTCATTTTATCAAATGCTTCATAACAGGGTGAGCATCTACACCGAAACGTCCTATCTATTGCAACAAAGAAGTGTTCTGTCCATAAAACGTGTTCCTCTTCCTCATACCAGCTTCTAAATGCCACTGAAAGAGTTCCATAGATAGTATAATGTGAAAACGGCCTCAGTTCGCCAGAAGAATCCTTCCATGATGGACACCTGAGAACAGTTGCTGTGGAGCACCATAGTCGGGCTCCTCAAGATTATTGGCAACGGGATCAGGTAATCCTGTGAAGGTGTGGGCTTTGAGGATAACAGAAGGCAATGGCAGTTCTGGAAACTTCTGCTGTAGACGCTTTGGATAGCAGAATAAAAAGCTGATTCCAAAGTCTACAATGGTCCTGCAAGGCGTAACTATATATCCTTAGAATCCTGGCCAGGAACAGTGGGAGACCCTCAACAATTGGAGATGTAAACAAGATTTAATCGAAGCGCAAAGAAATTCCACCTGGTGGTTGAGGATCGAACCAAGGAAGTGATGATGGTCCTCACGGGAAAATGAGTCGGAAGGAGTGTCCAGAAATTGTCATCCGCAAGGATCTGGGAAACTTTCATCGATTGTGGAGCCTTGTATGGGGTGCGTCTGGATTTCTTGCTTAAAGATAGACAGAATTTGTCCAATTGCACCTTGTAATCTCTGTCTCTGGCCTGAACAGAACAAGCCTTCCTGTAGATCACAAACTGGTCATGGTCCAGTTGACTGAAGAAGTTACAACACACGGGCTAGCTGCATATTCCCATGCAGTCTTTGCAGGGTAAGCAAGGATCTTGAGAAGAAAAAGTCTCTTTGCACACTGAGCATACAATAACCCTCTAAAACCTCAGGAGAGATTGAAAACAATGGTAGAACAATTCACAGGTCGTCTGCACCCATATATAAAGTATGTAATGCAAAAATGGGACTAACAGGTGGATGGACCAAAAGACATCCAGCATATACTAAACAGAAACAGGTTGATATCACGAATAAAAGTATTTTCACAAGTATTCTGAAAACAAGGTTTCAGATTATATTTCCAAACAGCACATTCCATTTCACAATAATTTTCATTTTATATCATACACATGTTCTCAAATACAAATTGTTAACAACTGAGACAATACAAGTAACATGAATGCACAATGCACTTCATTCACTCAGGAATTCCTTTGTTCTGGTTATAACATAGACATGAAAGAGGCATGCCTTTTCAAAAGAAACTTTGCTTGCAGATTCATCTTCACCAATGTGACAAATGTAACATCAAGTTACATTTATAGCAACAATTTTGTGCATTATGGAGTTTTGTTTTGTTCTTACAATGTCACAGGTTGAAAACTTTTCTTCAAATAAACATGTCGGTGATTTGTGTGATACGAAGTCTTTGAAGTTGAAGAATGACAGAGCAGAACTGCTACACTGAAACGTCATAATAACAGTATATACAACCTTTATCCACCAATTTTGGTTTTCACATATAATGATTCTGAAATGAAATTCTTTGGTGATTTTCTGAATACGGAACTAATGCTACTTGACTGCATTCATGACACATGGATGTCACCATTTTGTTGACTGAACAACTTCAACAACTGCATGGGTCACACCAAGAGTGGTATCTCCTACTGGTCGACAATGCTTCAAACTTTCATTGCAGTTTATATCTTCTTTTTATGCTGTGGTCCTTACAACTATTAGAGAAGTCATTATATATTATTTTCATTAGGCTATTTCACTTTTCAGTGGGCTCATAAACCAACAAGTAGAGAATTAATGACCTCTGCAACTTCTGTCTTCCCTTCAGGGTACTTGACTAATATCAGTAATGAATAAGATTTGAGAGTTGTGCAATATGGGCAAAACATCCGTCTATCTTGTCACTGATTCAAAAACATTTGGCTTGGGAAGAAAAATATGCAGGCAAAGTAACTTAAAATATGCCCCATGAAAGTCTAAGGGGAGAGTCTCTCATACACCCAACCATTGTCCCCCTGGTGGGTGGTTTCTGTGTTGATTGTGTCCCCTGGCTGAAGGTGACGGAAGACAATACGATCATGTAGTCGGTTTGACTGTCCCTGCCAGAACTCCACCACTGTTGGACGAACAAGGTAGCCTCCCCCTGAGTTGGAGAAATCAGAGACGTTATGATATGATCCACTGAGTTGTCTCCCTTGATTTAGACGAATCTATTCAAACTATAGTCTGTTTGCAGTGAAAATGTACCGATGAATTTCACTTTAAACAAAAGAGTAAATCAAATAAAGTGAAATTAAGATTGTGAATCCTCTTAATTTTACCTTGCCAACTGAACATTTAAATCTCAGAATTTTATTCATCTTATGATAAAAGTTGTTAAACAAATAATCATAGATTCAAATCGCTATTATTGGTTTGTATTACAAGGGAGTAAGCGTTGTAGTTGGAACAGTGAAACAAATGCACGTGTGGTACGTGATGAGCGTTAACGTATACCAACCCTACTTGTTCTCGGTGTTTCATTTAATGTGCATACCCCCATGTAATACAAACCAATAATAGCGGTTTGAAACAATGATCATTTGTTAAACAACTTTTATCCTAAATTGAATAAAATTCTGAGATTTAAATGTTCAGTTGGCAAGGTAAACTTATAAGGATTCGCAATCTTAATTTCACTTCATTCGATTTACTTTTTTGTTTTAAGTGAAATTCATCGGTTCGTTTTCACTGCAAACAGACTATGCAAAACTGTGAACTGAAGAGTATATAGATATTTATTTCCGGTACTGAAAGGCCACAGGCCTGTAGTACAACACATTTATAAATCAATATTTACACGCACATGTAATATACATGAAGAAGAGAAAATAATCAACTGTAGGTTAGATTGTGTTCTGAGATATATTCTGTCCTAAACAACATGGCATAGTATTATTATAATAGTAAACAAACATGGACAAGTTTTGAAGTATAGTAAGGTTTTTGTTATTTAACAATGCTGAAAATTTATAAAGGTTTGGATGGGCACAATAATATTTCTTAATATACAACTTTCTCAGGGAATTATAAGCAGGGCAAATTAAAAGAAAATGATATTCATCTTCTATTTGGTTAAGATCACATACTAGTAGTTTGCAAGTTCTATTTTCTTTTTTGACATTTTTAAATCTTCCACTTTCGATAAATAAATCATGTGAAGAACATCTTAATCTGCTTAACGCTATCCTATACTTTTTTATGTTTAGACATGAAAGATAAATTTCGGAGTCAAAAGTACATTTAAACATCATATAATACAAACATTTACTGGCAAGTGATAACTTTTCAAACCATTCTTGAAAATAGATATCTTTTAATCTGCATGTTAGTTCTAAAAGAAACTAACCCTCAGAATCAACATAGAGATCATTCCATACAAAACCAAACCCTTTTGAAAATAGAAAATTTCTAACAGAAGAAACCCAATTTGTGTGTCCATTTTTATCGAATAGCATCATCATATTGTAACATTTCTTTGGTAGCCTATAGGAAGGCATCTTCAGTAATTTTAACCAGTATTTTATAACTCTGATATTTGAAAACAATTGCATCGGGTATTTACCACATTCTCCACACACCATTGTATTCATCGTGTTGGATTTAACTAAAAGAAATCTTTTACATGCTTTCAATTGAACTCTTTCAATATCACTGTAATAATTCAAACCCCATATTTTGGCTCCATACAATAAAATTGGCTTAATTTTGGCATCGAATATTTTAAAGTATGAACTTATATCTATGTCTCCAAGTACATTTAATTGTTTAAAGAGTATACTACACTAACATGAGATATAGTATACTAGACTAACATGAGATATAGTATACTACACTAACATGAGATATAGTATACTACACTAACATGAGATATAGTATACTACACTAACATGAGATATAGTATACTAGACTAACATGAGATATAGTATACTACACTAACATGAGATATAGTATACACTAACATGAGATATAGTATACTAGACTAACATGAGATATAGTATACTACACTAACATGAGATATAGTATACTACACTAACATGAGATATAGTATACTACACTAACATGAGATATAGTATACTAGACTAACATGAGATATAGTATACTACACTAACATGAGATATAGTATACTAGACTAACATGAGATATAGTATACTACACTAACATGAGATATAGTATACTACACTAACATGAGATATAGTATACTAGACTAACATGAGATATAGTATACTACACTAACATGAGATATAGTATACTACACTAACATGAGATATAGTATACTAGACTAACATGAGATATAGTATACTAGACTAACATATATATAGTATACTACACTAACATGAGATATAGTATACTACACTGACATGAGATATAGTATACTAGACTAACATGAGATATAGTATACTACACTAACATGAGATATAGTATACTACACTAACATGAGATATAGTATACTAGACTAACATGAGATATAGTATACTACACTAACATGAGATATAGTATACTAGACTAACATGAGATATAGTATACTAGACTAACATGAGATATAGTATACTACACTAACATGAGATATAGTATACTAGACTAACATGAGATAAAGTATACTACACTTACATGAGATATAGTATACTACACTTACATGAGATATAGTATACTACACTAACATGAGATATAGTATACTACACTTACATGAGATATAGTATACTACACTTACATGAGATATAGTATACTACACTAACATGAGATATAGTATACTACACTTACATGAGATATAGTATACTACACTTACATGAGATATAGTATACTACACTAACATGAGATATAGTATACTGCACTTACATGAGATATAACAAGGAAGTAGTCTGCTAGCGTTTATGTCACTCCTGATTACAGTCACACGAAAAACGTATGAACATCAAAATATATTTTGCTTATCAATTATACACTTATAGAGATGAGTCTTATGCTCTTGTCTGATGGAAAAGCTAAATGGCATTTAAACTTCGCATTAAAACAATCAATGATTCAATTTTATTTTATTTTTACCACATTTTTACCATATTTGGCTTCCTGTTTTAATAAACACCAATTTCTACACGAATCTGACAGAAAGTTGTTTAATCACTCCCTACTGAGACCCAAACTATTTGATATCAGAAAACCAATACACCTGGGTCTGTCGTCTTTATAAGTATGATTCACACTTTGACACTTTTCTACACACCTGTGTCATTTACTATTGGGATGGGGTATTTGAGTAAACTTGCGGGAATAAACGGAAATACAGAGTTGCCAATTAACCTTACTTCTAAGAACTATTATAAATGCCACTCAAAGAAACTATTGGAATAACTCCTGGTTTGCAGGTTCAAAGAAAATCGGAACTGAAACCAGCCAAATACGTTACCAGTAATCAGGCTTAGGGACGGCCTTGCTTTCATTAGAATATTCCTTCTGTAGCTCTTCATTCCTCTGGTCCAGTGCCTGGAAACACATTACAATACTGGATTTTCTCATGTGCACAAAGATCATGTTATCAGACAACACACCAGAGGTCACAGTTGCTGCTGACAAACTCATCGAGAATGTAAGTGTGATGTTTTGATAAGTAAACAAAGTCTAAAAACCTGATCACTGACAGAAACTGTGAGTCAAGCAGCTGGCAGAAGGTTTTGATATCTCTACCTGGGTTTCTCTCGTCTACTACGGTGGTCATCTTGTGAGCACAGGCGGGACCAATGGTATGGACCAATGCAAGTAACAGAGTTCAGTTACTGCTGCTTTTGTTGCAGAGAGGAATCCTGCCATTGTCATATATGCAACCATTGGTTTCATTACAGACAGGAATATATTAACATAGTGTTGATTAACAGCTTGTTGCAATAAAAGTTATCATTAATAAAGTCTAAAGTATATTGATCAGAGTGATTCCATTGAAAAGACTTTAATAATCTATCATGCTAATATTTGTGATGTTGAATGGTATGAATGTGTTCACGCATGCATGAGTTGGATTTGATTACAGCGGTTGTGTACAGTTTCAGTCTGAATGTAAGCTTAACTTGCATCATTATTATCTGATGTGTAATAACCATGAATATTGTACATGTGAGAAAACTGCTATTCAGGAAACATATATTGTCTGTATTTTGTATTCATTCTCCACCCACTGCTTGACAGTATATAGATGTTATCTATCATACATAGACATATGTTATTCCGGTGTATATTGGAAGGACTGATGACCACTCCGACCGAAGGCTAAGCTCCCATATCACCCTCAGGATATGCAGCCATTATAGCCTGTTTCATCCTGACATACCATGAGTAAATATTACACTATTTATTCATGTATGTGCCTTTTGCAATCATATCTGCATGTACGCTCAGTACACTAGCAGCTAATGTCCAGCAAATATGTAATACAGTACACTAGCAGCTATGTCCAGCAGTATGTAATACAATAAACTAGCAGCTATGTCCAGCAGTATGTAATACAATAAACTAGCAGCTATGTCCAGCAGTATGTAACACAATAAACTAGCAGCTAATGTCCAGCAAGTATGTAACACAATAAACTAGCAGCTAATGTCCAGCAGTATGTAACACAATAAACTAGCAGCTATGTCCAGCAGTATGTAATACAATAAACTAGCAGCTATGTCCAGCAGTATGTAATACAATAAACTAGCAGCTATGTCCAGCAAGTATGTAATACAATAAACTAGCAGCCATGTCCAGCAAGTATGTAATACAATAAACTACAGCTATGTCCAGCAGTATGTAATACAATAAACTAGCAGCTATGTCCAGCAAGTATGTAACACAATAAACTAGCAGCTATGTCCAGCAAGTATGTAATACAATAAACTAGCAGCTATGTCCAGCAAGTATGTAACACAATAAACTAGCAGCTATGTCCAGCAAGTATGTAATACAATAAACTAGCAGCTATGTCCAGCAAGTATGTAATACAATAAACTAGCAGCCATGTCCAGCAAGTATGTAATACAGTAAACTAGCAGCTATGTCCAGCAAGTATGTAATACAGTAAACTAGCAGCTATGTCCAGCAAGTATGTAATACAATAAACTAGCAGCTATGTCCAGCAAGTATGTAATACAATAAACTAGCAGCCATGTCCAGCAAGTATGTAATACAGTAAACTAGCAGCTAATGTCCAGCAAGTATGTAATACAGTAAACTAGCAGCTATGTCCAGCAAGTATGTAATACAATAAACTAGCAGCTATGTCCAGCAAGTATGTAATACAATAAACTAGCAGCCATGTCGAGGAAGTATGTAATACAGTAAACTAGCAGCTATGTCCAGCAAGTATGTAATACAATAAACTAGCAGCTATGTCCAGCAAGTATGTAATACAATAAACTAGCAGCTATGTCCAGCAAGTATGTAATACAATAAACTAGCAGCTATGTCCAGCAAGTATGTAATACAATAAACTAGCAGCTATGTCCAGCAATGTATGTAATACAATAAACTAGCAGCTATGTCCAGCAAGTATGTAATACAATAAACTAGCAGCCTATGTCCAGCAAGTATGTAATACAATAAACTAGCAGCTATGTCCAGCAAGTATGTAATACAATAAACTAGCAGCTATGTCCAGCAAGTATGTAATACAATAAACTAGCAGCTATGTCCAGCAAAGTATGTAATACAATAAACTAGCAGCTATGTCCAGCAAGTATGTAATACAATAAACTAGCAGCTATGTCCAGCAAGTATGTAATACAATAAACTAGCAGCCATGTCCAGCAAGTATGTAATACAATAAACTAGCAGCTATGTCCAGCAAGTATGTAATACAATAAACTAGCAGCTATGTCCAGCAAGTATGTAATACAATAAACCTGCAGCTATGTCCAGCAAGTATGTAATACAATAAACCTGCAGCCATGTCCAGCAAGTATGTAATACAATAAACTAGCAGCTATGTCCAGCAGTATGTAATACAAACTAAAGCAGCCATGTCCAGCAAGTATGTAATACAATAAACTAGCAGCTATGTCCAGCAAGTATGTAATACAATAAACCTGCAGCCATGTCCAGCAAGTATGTAATACAATAAACTAGCAGCTATGTCCAGCAAGTATGTAATACAATAAACCTGCAGCCATGTCCAGCAAGTATGTAATACAATAAACTAGCAGCTATGTCCAGAAAGTATGTAATACAATAAACCTGCAGCCATGTCCAGCAAGTATGTAATACAGTAAACTAGCAGCTATGTCCAGCAAGTATGTAATACAATAAACTAGCAGCCATGTCTTAGCAAGTATGTAATACAATAAACTAGCAGCTATGTCCAGCAAGTATGTAATACAATAAACTAGCAGCCATGTCCAGCAAGTATGTAATACAATAAACTAGCAGCTATGTCCAGCAAGTATGTAATACAATAAACTAGCAGCTATGTCCAGCAAGTATGTAATACAATAAACCTGCAGCCATGTCCAGCAAGTATGTAATACAATAAACTAGCAGCTATGTCCAGAAAGTATGTAATACAATAAACCTGCAGCCATGTCCAGCAAGTATGTAATACAGTAAACTAGCAGCTATGTCCAGCAAGTATGTAATACAATAAACTAGCAGCTATGTCCAGCAAGTATGTAATACAATAAACTAGCAGCTATATCCAGCAAGTATGTAATACAATAAACTAGCAGCTAATGTCCAGTAGTATGTAACACAATAAACTAGCAGCTAATGTCCAGCAGTATGTAACACAATAAACTAGCAGTTATGTCCAGCAGTATGTAACACAATAAACTAGCAGCTAATGTCCAGCAGTATGTAACACAATAAACTAGCAGCAATGTCCAGCAGTATGTAACACAATAAACTAGCAGTTATGTCCAGCAGTATGTAACACAATAAACTAGCAGCTAATGTCCAGCAGTATGTAACACAATAAACTAGCAGCTAATGTCCAGCAAGTATGTAATAAAATAAACTAGCAGCTATGTCCAGCAAGTATGTAATACAGTAAACTAGCAGCTATGTCCAGCAAGTATGTAATACAATAAACTAGCAGCTATGTCCAGCAAGTATGTAATACAGTAAACTAGCAGCTATGTCCAGCAAGTATGTAATACAATAAACTAGCAGCTATATCCAGCAAGTATGTAATACAATAAACTAGCAGCTGATGTCCAGAAAGTATGTAATACAATAAACTAGCAGCTATGTCCAGCAGTATGTAACACAATAAACTAGCAGCTAATGTCCAGCAGTATGTAACACAATAACTAGCAGCTAATGTCCAGCAGTATGTAACACAATAAACTAGCAGCTAATGTCCAGCAGTATGTAACACAATAAACTAGCAGCTATGTCCAGCAAGTATGTAATAAAATTAACTAGCAGCTATGTCCAGCAAGTATGTAATACAGTAAACTAGCAGCTATGTCCAGCAAGTATGTAATACAATAAACTAGCAGCTATGTCCAGCAAGTATGTAATACAATAAACTAGCAGCTATGTCCAGCAAGTATGTAATACAATAAACTAGCAGTTATGTCCAGCAAGTATGTAATACAATAAACTAGCAGCTGATGTCCAGCAAGTATGTAATACAGTAAACTAGCAGCTAATGTCCAGCAGTATGTAACACAATAAACTAGCACTTATCTCCAGCAAGTATGTAATACAATAAACCTGCAGCCATGTCCAGCAAGTATGTAATACAATAAACTAGCAGCTATGTTCAGCAAGTATGTAATACAGTAAACTAGCAGCTATGTCCATCAAGTATGTAATACAGTAAACTAGCAGCTATGTCCAGCAAGTATGTAATACAATAAACTAGCAGCTATGTCCAGCAAGTATGTAATACAGTAAACTAGCAGCTATGTCCAGCAAGTATGTAACACAATAAACTAGCAGCTATGTCCAGCAAGTATGTAATACAATAAACTAGCAGCTATGTCCAGCAAGTATGTAATACAATAAACTAACAGCCATGTCCAGCAAGTATGTAATACAATAAACTAGCAGCTATGTCCAGCACGTATGTAATGCAATAAACTAGCAGCTATATCCAGCAAGTATGTAATACAATAAACTAGCAGCTGATGTCCAGCAAGTATGTAATACAATAAACTAGCAGCCATGTCCAGCAAGTATGTAACACAATAAACTAGCAGCCATGTCCAGCAAGTATGTAATACAATAAACTAGCAGCTATGTCCAGCAAGTATGTAATACAATAAACTAGCAGCTATATCCAGCAAGTATGTAATACAATAAACTAGCAGCTATGTCCAGCAAGTATGTAATACAATAAACTAGCAGCCATGTCCAGCAAGTATGTAACACAATAAACTAGCAGCTATGTCCAGCAGTATGTAATACAGTAAACTAGCAGCTGATGTCCAGCAAGTATGTAATACAATAAACTAGCAGCTAATGTCCAGCAGTATGTAACACAATAAACTAGCAGCTAATGTCCAGCAGTATGTAACACAATAAACTAGCAGCCATGTCCAGCAAGTATGTAACACAATAAACTAGCAGCCATGTCCAGCAAGTATGTAATACAATAAACTAGCAGCTATGTCCAGCAAGTATGTAATACAATAAACTAGCAGCTATATCCAGCAAGTATGTAATACAATAAACTAGCAGCTATGTCCAGCAAGTATGTAACACAATAAACTAGCAGCTATGTCCAGCAGTATGTAATACAGTAAACTAGCAGCTGATGTCCAGCAAGTATGTAATACAATAAACTAGCAGCTAATGTCCAGCAGTATGTAACACAATAAACTAGCAGCTAATGTCCAGCAGTATGTAACACAATAAACTAGCAGCTAATGTCCAGCAAGTATGTAATACAATAAACTAGCAGCTAATGTCCAGCAGTATGTAACACAAAAAACTAGCAGCTATGTCCAGCAAGTATGCAATAAAATAAACTACAGTATAATGAACTCAAAGGGAGCACTAAGTTTAGTTTTCTAAAACCGTAGTTCGTCATGCATATTCTGACTGATGACTACAGCAGGTGGTCGGGACCCAAAGACACTTTGGTACATTGATCAGTCCATTATAGTGAGTGAGTTTAGTTTTACGCCACTTTAGCAATATACCAGCAATATTACGCCGGGGGACACCAGAAATGGGCTTCACACATTGCACCCATGTGGGGAAATTGAACCCAGGTCTTCTGTGTGACGAGCCAATGATTTAACCACTGGTAGGGGTGAAACGGTATACCACGGTATTAGTAGAACCACGGTATTTTGCCTTTGCTTCGGTATACCGTAATACAATCCAAAAAATCGGTATTTTCGGTTTTCGTACCATTATATTAACCTTCTTAAACCCTTTCAAAAATGTCTAGAAATTGTCAAAATTTATGCGTTTCTTTTCTTATGATCATATCTCATATATCTCATATAACCGAAACGAAGGTCTTGTACCGCAATATGTACCATACCGTGATAAGAGTGTACCGTTTCACCCCTAACCACTAGGCTACCCCACCGCCCCTCTTTAATGTGGGATGAAAGCCCAAGGTGTCTTCCACTAGGAGGATATCCACAACCACAGGCACCAATACATCAAGGTCCAGGAATTCCAGGACAGGAAGAGACACAAATATGTGAGCGAGTGAGTGATTGAGTGAGTGTACTTTTACGCCACTTTTAGCAATATTCCAGCAATATCATGGCAGGCGACACCAGAAATTGGTGTCACACATTGCACCCATGTGGGGAATCAAACCTGTCTTCAGCGTGACGAACCACTTGGCTATCCCACCACCCCAAGAAATAAACTACTACAAATTAAGACTGACTTATGGTCGTAATGTGATAAAATAGTCTGTGACATATTGCAGGTGCTGACATGGTTAATATATGTTAACCATCACTATCTTCAAAAGCTTTGATTTATTCAGATTTAAACAAGAACTTCCTGAAATGTGACCTTCAGAAAATGTATATATAAACTCTGTGGGACAGCCACATACAAATTTGAGGTCTAATGTTAGCATTTAAAATGCTAACATCACCAGATATCTAACCGATCTGGTACAAGTCAGAAATGGAGTTTGTGTACTAGTTCCCTACTGCAGGCCAACAGCAACTGGATACCTTCAGTTCAGTGACGTATATAATGAGTAGCATTGGCGGACCCAGAGGGGGGGTTCAGGGGTTCGAAAAACACACACACACACACACACCCTCTCTCTGAAAATGACTTACGCTCATGACTAGTATCTTTAAACATCATCCATTACACCATGTATCTAGAGCACTGTTCCTGCAACTAACTGTCCAATTCAGAGAAAGTTGGACTCTTCCACTGGAACAAAAGGTGGGTAACAAAATACTTGTTGGGTAACCCTCAATAAGAATAATGTCGGTATTTGACCCACCTGTCTGCTGGTGATCACCTGACCCTGTTGACTGACAATGGCGCCAAGCTGGCTGTCACGGGGACGAGACTGGAAGTAGGTCAATGACTCCTCCTCCGACACCTTCTCCACATTCCCCTCAACCCTCACCTAGTGGATATATCCCGTCAACTAAATAATGAGTGAGTACAATAGGCACCACATACATTTTAATGGGAATGACACCTTTGTTGGATTGACATCATAGTGGGAGGGACCTCTTTTGTGGGAGTCAGATCATTGTGGGAATGACATCATAGTGGTTGTGACATCATAGTGAGAGCGACATCTTTTGTGGGAGTCAGATCATTGTGGGAATGACATCATAGTGGTTGTGACATCATAGTGACATCATAGGGGTTGTGACATCTTTTGTGGGAGAGTCAGATCATTGTGGGAATGACGCCATAGTGGTTGAATGACATCATGGTGGACATCATAGCGACATCTTTTGTGGGAGTCAGATCATTGTGGGAATGACGCATCATAGTGGTTGTGACATCATAGTGGGAGCGACATCTTTTGTGGGAGTCAGATCATTGTGGGAATGACGTCATAGTGGTTGTGACATCATAGTGGGAGCGATATCTTTTGTGGGAATGACATCATAGTGGTTGTGACATCATAGCGGGAGGGACCGCTTTCAAATCAATGTAGTAATGACATCATAGTGGAAGTGGAGGGAATAATTGTGGCATCATGGATGATATCAAAGTGGGTGCAGTATAACAACACAAATGCCATTACAATAGGAAATGAATTATATTTATTATTTAGAAACTAAACACATCCATAAACCTATATCATTTTTGAAAGAAAATGAAATAAATATTCAACATTTCACAAAATATTTCAGACTTTTAAGATACATGTATGTTTGGCCGTTGTAGGTGTTTATTGCTTGTGGTACCATGAATCCTTCGGCAATATTCTAGTTCTCTGGATGGTCTGTAAATACGTGAATGTGGATAAGAAAATCCAGTGATTAATATTATGAGCACTGATCTTGGATGTGACAACATCTCTTTAACAAGTTTCGGTGGCTGACAACTGGATCCTATTAGTTGCCTCTTACAACAAGCATGGTAACTGAAGATTCTAAACTGCATCTTAAATGGTGGGGAGGCAACAAGCAGGGGTCCTGGTGACCATGTTCAACCAATCATCATTGTGGGAGACAAGCAGGGGTCCTGGGGACCATGTTCAACCAATCCTCATTGTGGGAGACAAGCAGGGGTCCTGGGGACCATGTTCAACCAATCATCATTGTGGGAGACAAGCAGGGGGGCAGAAAACCATTTTAGACTAGATCAATAAATACATACACATCTCTTCAGGGGCTCCCAGTAGAACATGAGGCTGCATCTAGGGTTCTCCCCCTGCAAAACATAACACAGATGAACTGACTCTCATGTCACATCAGTAATCACAGAAAATATAAATATTTGAAACAACATTTAATTTGTGATTCATACATCTTAAAAGGCTGCATTAAAGGCGGACTAAACAGTATATCAAAAGGCGCATGACCATCACTGCACTCAGGGGTGGAAATAACTTTAAAATTGCTAGTGTACTCTGGTACAGTGGCACATGTAAAATCACTTGCCCTGATAATTTTTCCGCTACACCGGCTGATTATTTTGGTGATTTTTTAATATAAGCAACATAATTAACATTGGAATGTCAACCGGACACCGGTACAGCGTGATATACAAATGTGCTTGCCCGACAGAAAAAAACACTGGACTCGGACGGCAGGCAATGGATTATTTCCACCCCTGGGCACTACAACCTACAATCATAGTTGCTTCCCTTAGATGTGGCAGAATTCAATGATCATGATTTGGAATCCCAGAGTGGTCTCTAAAACCATACGTCCAGTGTTCACGAATAGCGTCTGACCCTCTGACAAATCCGGCAGATTTGCCAACGGTCCAATAGAAGTCTACAACCCGCCGGCCCCAGTGTCTGACTGTATATTTCACAATGACTTTGACTGAAGTTGTTATATGGGACATGTGACACCTGTTTGCTGTTTATAAATCTTATGTTTGTTTATACTTTCATTGCCAATTATAAGAAATGTTAAATCTGAAATGTGTGTTTAATTATATTCTATGGGTCCTATGAATTTTCAATGGGTTAGACAGACATCTGAAACTTACAGGACCCAATGTCCTGTTACTTTAAAACACCATTCGTGAATACTGTACGTCCAATGAAGAAATATAGGCACATGATAATATATTTTCTGAGTAAGAGAAATGTTGTGTTCTGTTAGAGATTGGAGCAATGCAGGTGGTAAAGCCACTATGGTAACAAATTAGTCTACAGTATTTAACTACAGGAACTAAATCTACTGATGATGTTTCTAGGTTTGTCATCACCAAGTCCACGATCATGGCTTCCACAAATGTTGTAAATGCCTCCTTCTATCTTTCAACACCACTGACATTTTGTTTTGAGCAGTGCTAAACTGAACTTACCAATCAATATTTAAACATATTTCACATTGTTGAATCCTAAAGTTTCATTTTTTTACAACAAAACTTTTAGCATAAGTCTTACCAATTCTTTTGCCTTCCTGCTTTCGTAGTTTGTGAAGAAGGTGAAGCCCTCCGAGCTTAAACCTTTCAGTAAAACCATTCTGACCGATGGCGCACCATTCCTATGGAGGAAGGCAATCATGTTTAGTTTCACTTGTAACCTAATGATACAATAGGCAATGTTTCAGCTATATGTAACATGGGCCTGCAAATATTCAAATCAGAAGCAAATAGGTATGAGAAAAAAATTCACGTTGTCAGGATATAATGCATGACTTAAAACACTGAGTCAACAAATACAAACCTGAAGAACAGTGTGTCCATACTCACCAAAACACAGATTACGATCAACATGCATCACAGAAAGCTACACCACCATGTGTTGGACTGTCATGATAAGTTCAGTGCTAGTATTATCAATGTGGCAAGTTGGCAACATGTGTAGAATATGTTCTTCTATACTATAGGACTTAGAATAAACAGTTGTTTCAAAACTATGGTCACAAATAAAGTGAACTGATGTTGGTGGTTTATTAGGAAACAGTGATTGATTGGTTGGTGTTTAACGCGCCACTCAGCAGTATTCCAGCTATATGGCGGCGGTCTGTATATAATGAAGTCTTTACCAGACAACCCAATGATCAACAAAATGAGCATCGATCTACGCAATTGGGATACGATGACATGCGTCAACCAAGTCAGCAAGCCTGACCACCTGATCCCGTTAGTCGCCTTTTACGCCGAGCATGGGTTGCCCGAAGACCAATTCTTACCCGGATCGTCATGAGTATAGTAAACATGTGTATCTTCTATGGGAAAATTAAGGGTTTGAATATTTTTCAACATTTGGTCATTTACTTTTGGAGCTTTTGTGACTGTTTGCGTTTAGTCAAGTGTTAAACTCAGGACCAATGCTAACCTTGTAGCGGTGGCCAAAGACATGGCATTCGCCTCTATCCCATCTACTGTCCGAGCTTCATCAAACCACTGACGAAACTGTTCAAATGGCTCCTTGGCTACCAGATGCTGAATATCAAAACATTCTTGTTGAGTCCGATATGGCTTTCTCATTCCTGGAATCAGAACAATCAAAATATCAGGTAACAATCAAAAGTGAAGATTTTTAGCACAAGGAACTTGCAACATTTAATGATAAAGTAAGTTTGAAAATGAGATATAAACAACTCAACAAACTGTGATATTCTCAACTCATTACACCAGTTCATTTCTAAAAGTAAGCGCTTCCAGTGATTATCACCTCTACATATACATGTATATTCAATGCAAGACAAGACTTATATAACTTGATTTTCTGCGGCAGCTCTTTTCGTTGCTAGGCACAACCAACACCATCACCAAATATTTATTATTCAATCATTTTTCTGAGTGTGTAGGGCGGTGGGGTAGCCTAGTGGTTAAAGCGTTGGCTCGTCACGCCGAAGACCCGGGTTCAAATCCCCAAATGGGTACAATGTGTGAAGCCCATTTCTGGTGTCCCCCGCCGTGATGTTGCTGGAATATTGCTAAAAGCGGCGTAAAACCAAACTCAGTCAGTCTGAGCGTAATTTTGTCTCAGTATTATTCTTTCTTGTCGGACTATTTCAAATATGTATCCAGCTATATTGGAACCGTGTACTGGAGCGGCGTTTATATCAGCCACTAGGCTTGTTCGCCTATCCAGGTTTCTGCATTGACGGAATAAAAATATGTTTAAACCAGATATAAACAACATGTACATATAGTATTCATATTCTTCTTGAGGGTGACAGAAAGGTAAATATTCTACAGAGTAGCACTTGAGGGTTGTAGTCAAAAGGGCCGAAGGACAAAAGGTCCGAAAAATAAGTCAAATGGGCCAAGGCTTAAGTCAAATGGGCCGAAATGAAAAGTCAAAAAGGCCGAAAAAAGGTCCAAAAAATTAAAATGTAATAAATTACATATTAAAATAGTGCAAATAATGTTTAGTTGTTGTTGTTGTTATCTTAAATGGAATTTGAACATGAGCCTCAAATGTTTTCATGATGAAGCGTCTTGACTCAGTGTCATGACTAATCCATATGGGATGTTTGTTTTGTTGTTGTTGTACGTTTTTAATCCAAATCTAATTAAAACAAGGGATGTTTGTTTTTGTAACCATACATTTGATAAATGTAAAGCTCGTCTTTACTGCATCCATTGCCGGATATCAGACCATGGCTCACTTTCCATAAGTGTCGATATAAACAACAGCTCACAGCTGAACTCATTGAACGAATGAACTAGTGTAAATTATGAACGAATGAACTAGTGTAAATTATGAACGAATGAACTTGTGTAAATTATGAACGAATAAACTTGTGTAAATTATGAACGAATGAACTGTAAATTACCATTATATTATTTTTGTTAATTATGTGAACTTGTGTTAATTAAGTAAATTATGAACTATATGTATTGCCATTACATGAAAACTTGGCTACATGCTTGGCTATTACCATGCCATTACCATTTTATTAATGTTATCATGATATTATGTTTCAATGCTATATGTGTCAATAAATAATGCAAAACCTTTCTAAACTTGTTTTCTGTTCGGCCCATATGACTATAGGAATAAGGCCCTTTTGACTTTTTGTCACAGCCCATTTGACTTTCACCTCGGCCCTTTCGATTTTTCCATTGGCCCTTTTGACTTGGCACTTCTTGGCCCTTTTGTCCTTCGACCCATTTGACTAGTTCCCGCACATGATATATTCATGTAGCTCCCTAAAATTGGAACAATATACTATGTGTGAATCTCTGAAACATCCTGGTAAAGAGGGTCATGTGGTTTTAAACATTTGCCTGAACGTTCTACACATACCAAGTTGTTCTGAATTTCTTTTATACTTTTCAAAATGTAGAGTATGCTATATAACTTTAGTTTTGTCATGTAAAATTGTAAAAAGAAAAAAAGTAGTTTCTGAGGAGCCCATAAATGTATCGTTAATTTGTAAGCCAGAGATTCAGTTAGCATGATGACAAGATTTTAAGATCAGGTTTTATTCATTATACATTTTGCAATACTATATTCATGCCCGTCAAAATAATCAATCAAAATCTCATAAACTATCTATCAAATCGAAGCATGTTAATGTCCAAGTGTGATCTGCGCTTGGATGTCCCGTGTAGCCTTTATATTGTGAAACTTGCACATTTGGGTCACGATCAGAGAGTATAGTGACATTGCACTGATGACACGCCATCAAGAAGCAGGATATACAACTTCACATGCCCTCTTGTCTGACACTAGTGTCAGTAGTGTCAGTGCATCTTCTTTAAATCATCAATTTACCGATCGTGTCTATCTCAAGCCATAAACACAAATCGGCTTATAGGTTAAATACATCAGTCTTTACCTGAAATATCTCCTGACATGTTTCGAATATGGAGGTTGGAGGTCTTCTGCAAATTGGTGAGACCAAACCTGGCCAGACGTTGCGCCACTACACTCATACAGCTAAAACAGTTATCTGATGTCACGTGTGGGAGCCGAAGTTCGAGGTTTACGGATGTTTACAAATTTTGGCGCATGCGTAATGTACCGTTCCGACATATTTTATTTATACGATTTCACCCACGACTATTGATATTCAATGAACCCACCGATTGCCTTTCTGATGAAAGATATATTTTGCATCCTCACGTTCCAGGTGATGGCAGCTCCAATACTCTAACATAGGCTTACATCGTAGCGCTAAGATCACCTTGTGGAGTGGTTATTATTATTATCATAAAGGCACTGGAAAAGGTAAAATTATTTTCTGTTCTCACTGAGACTTTACAGTTTAAGACCCAAAAAAACGTGACGACATAAAAAATAAACCCCTGAAGACTGAGTGAGTTTTACATCACATCGGCAACATTTCAGCCATATTTGTGACCACTCATCAAAATAAAAAAGACTTTGTGTGACAGATAATAAAATGGCATATCTTTACAACCAGGGAGACTATATAAGTTGTAGAGTATCCCTGTGAGAACACAGCACTAACATAACATAACTAGCAACTACAACGGCGAATTAATTACGTGAGTGAGTTTTGTTTTACGCCGCACTCAGCAATATTCCAGCTATGTAGCGGCGGTCGACCAGACAATCCAGTGATCAACAGAATGAGCATCGCAATTGGGAACCGATGACATGTGTCAACCAAGTCAGCGAGCCTGACCACCCGATCCCATTAGTCGCCTCTTACGACAAGCATGGGTTACTGAAGATCAATATTCTAACCCGGACCCGGGTACGAATTAATTACCGGTTGTCTTCCCTGAATATAACGTAGATATGACTAGAATATCGTCGGTCGCCACGTCTCGGAACTAAACACATTCCAACGGACAGATATACTGTTTCCTCATCACTCGTAAGCCTTTCTCTCAGAGTTGAAACTGAGGGTTTATCACGCTTGTTTTCTGTCAGTTGTCAAGCACGCCATACTGTAAAAAACCCCACTAAAATACATAAATAGTGAATACACACATATACTGATACCAGTCCACTTACGCCTGTTGACTCATTACGGGGCGGTGGGGTAGCCAAGTGGTTAAAGCGTTCTCTCGTCATGCCGAAGATCCGGTTCGATTCCTTACACTCACTCACTCATTCGCGCTAACATATACACCAACAGACACATATGCACGTGCATGCATGCTTTTCGTAAATCCCTGTTCTTCCCTCAGCTATATATATATATTTGTAACGTGCAAGTAGAGTCCACCTAGATTATGTATATTATTTTAACAACTTTTTACAAGACGTAATTAGCTGGACTTCCCCATTTGATGCAAAGAGAGCTAGAGTAAAGTCAATAGCATTTACAAATGCTTTTTATGAGATTTACTTTTTTTCAGTTTACATGTCCCCGTAGAGATTCCATAGACGAGAACGTACGTTACTGACCTCATATCAGATCTCATGAAGATAAAGGCATGAGGATTTTGAAGTCACTGTCCATTTTATAGAAAATACTTGTGGAAACCCTGTTTGTCGACGCTTTGTCGTCAATGCGATATGAGATCATTTTGTAATTAAATGTCAAACTGGTGAGTGTCAGAATAACCTACCAACCTCGAATTGTCTGCTTAGTTTGAGCAGAGACCATATAATAGATATTATATGGTCTCTGGTTTGAGTTAAACATCGATTGAAGTATGGTTCGGGAAATTCATTTGGCTAATTTTCTAAAATTTGAGAAAAAGCGCAGACTGGTTTTTGTTTCGAGAAATCGGCGCCAGTGTTCGTAAAGTACAGCTTTTGTTGACTTGGTTAAATATCACCAGTTGTTATACAAGTAGTTCGTGTATATTTCATCTACACTGCGCAGGCGCGTAAGAAAACCCCGCCAAACTCGTTCCACGTGGGTGATTCAGTGAACGAGTGTAACGTAATAACTGGTGTTCAGTCATGGCACAGCTGGTAAGAAAAAGCGTTTTTATGCACAGAATTTGTAAATTGTCTATTCGTGTGGTTATTTTCAAGTTTGCGCCCTATGGTATTAAATTTTCTTCAAATATGCATCCACACTGAAACCCGACCCACAATTCTACTGTGTTGTCAATGTGTTGATTGGTTTTGCAGTCGATATATCGTGAAAAATATATGTTTTTAAATTGGGAATCTTTTATAATCAGAAGCAATGCCCATGTGACTATCATCAATAAATATGTGAATGGTATATTGGCCGGTTAGGAAAAAGTACTTTCACTACGACTCGAAACAAAAGCCATCGTCATATGGCGGGAATAAATGTCAACTCGCGGGAAGTGAGTGAAAGGAATCGGAAATGCGCTCTGACTGTGTCAAAAGTTGACATCTCTAATTAACAAATAGCGACAATATATAAAACGGGTTTTCATACATAATCAGGATAAACAATAAGCCGAACACCAAATTTGGGCAAAAGTTCCCCCATCCCAAATAATAGCAGTGATAAGTCTACAATTTTTAGCGAGTGAGTCCTGGGACTCGCTCAGTTGAAAAGTAATGAGTCCTTTTGAAATTTTTGTGAGTCCCTCAAACTATACATACATACATACTAACATTTGTATAGCGCCAATGTCCAGCTCAGAAAGAAAAATATCAGCTTGTTAAACATTATTGCTACTACATATCATTCACCATTTGAAAGGTCTAATCCTAGCTACCTGTTTATAAATATAAAATTTATCTTTTATCATATTATTCACATAATGCAACTACAACTTAAATCAGTTAATTTAAATGAAAATGCAAGCTTACACAATTATAATGTCCGGATAAACCACAAAGGAAGCAAAAAATTCGTCGATTTTTTTCCATTTTTAACATGTCATAATATCCCCTTACCTTTTTCTTTTCTTTTTTTCATTTTTATGTAATTGGAAAATTATTATAAAAAGATTTCTCAAATAATATGTATGGTCGGAGACCTATTTCCTGTTAACAGTGCCTTTCCGCTAGGTAACGTGATACAACAGTAGAAAATACCTCCGTTTTCGAAGCTCCGTATGAATAACATGCAAGGCGTTTCGTTTGATGGCGGCTGTTGTTCTAAAGCTCGGAACATCAACAATATCACTGTACCCTTGCCAAGAGTATTTTCACAGTTGTAAGAAGCGATTTTATTGGATAAAGATTGGTTTCTAATGACGTTTTTTCGCCACAGTCTGCCATAAAGGTCGTGATTGGTCGAAATCATGCATGTGACCCTAAGGCAGCCAATCATATTAAAGCAATGGATACCTTCCTCGTAAACAAAAACTTATAGATTCAGACGGAAGTTTTGGGTAAAATCATGGTATTCTGAACGTGTTACGCACAAAATCACCACCTATACGTATATTATGGAACTTAGTGGACGTATCGGCTAGAATCCACTTTACCAGGCGCAGCTCTCGCTGCTCCATTTACGATCCTTAGGGTTAGGCACCCTTTACGATCCTTAGGGTTTAGGGTTAGGCACCCTTTACGATCCTGATCCTTAGGGTTAGGGAACCCCAGCAGCACTTATTAATCGGGGAAAAGTGCACCCGGTAAAGTGCAGTACTCCCCCGAGCGCTAAGTTCGAGGCGATGAAAGCCGAGAGGTCTCTTGAATTACACTACTTGATCGCTCAATAAAGATGGAAATAGTAAGTTATCATGAATGTTTGACAACTTTTATGACTAATATGAGTACTGTTGTTGATTTTATTCTTCAGTTTATTCAATTTGTTTAATTATTTCCACGAAACATTGTTACTTTGCTGTTTGACAACTTTGATATGGACTCGCTGCCGAAGCATCTGTCCGAGAAAGCATGTATGATCAGTGAATATGTATGCATCCACGGGACGCACATGTAAAATATTTGTGCGTCCTTTCAAATTTTCATGCGTATATTACGCAGGACGCGCAGGTAGATTTATCCCTGTAATAGTTATGAATATGTACTAAAATTATTAACAAAACTTGATACAACAATTACTAAAGAACTCACAAAATGACTAAAGTCCAAAATTTAAGTTAGGTTTTGAGTTAGGGTTGGGGGAACGGAAGGAACTCTTTCCTTAATTTGATAAGTCAGGGTGGTGGGGTAGCCTAGTGGTTGAAGCATTGGCTCACCATGCCCGAAGACCCGGGCTCGAATCTCCACATGGGTACAATGTGTGAAGCCCATTTCTGGTGTTACCTGCCGTGATGTTGCTGGAATATTGCTAAAAGCGGCGTAAAACCAAACTCAGTCAGTGATAATATGTCATTATCAGCTACAGGTTTTTATATCAGCTACAGGAGAGCCGCGATGCGGTCCTATACAGCCAATATTTGGGTGTAATATTGCGAGACTGGATGGTGGGGTAGCCTAGTGATTAAAGCGTTTGCTCGTCAGGCCAAAGGCCCAACTAGGTTCGATTCCTCATATGGGCACTAAGGCTGTAACGATTCACTCGCATATTCACTGAATCGAACCGTGGCCCTTCATGAATTCAATTCGTTATTCGTGGTCACCAGAACCGAATATTAACGAATATTTACAATGTTTTTTAAGGGAGCATGTTTTACTTGAACCCTTATGTCTTTTCCAAAGTGAGATATGCAAGAATGGAACATGTACTAGCATTGCAGTAGTGCAAGTCATGTTAGTTTGCCAAGACTGCACATGGTACTGTCGACTATAACTATTACATACCAAATTTGAGTGTCATGAGATCACTGGTTATTGCTGTGACAAATCAAAACTGTCAACATGGACGTTCCATAAAGTGCATCAATCACTTAACTACAATATTATATTCGTGAATAATCATTCGTATTCGTTACCCAAAATTCATGATACGTATCATATTCGCCACATAGTGTATTCATTGCAGCCCTAATGGGCACAATGTGTGAAGCTCATTTCTTGTGTCCCCTCTGTGATGTTGGTGGAATATTGTGTACAACACTACTCTCTCACTCTCTTGGTTACTGTAAATATTGCCGAATCTTGGTTAGGGACACTGGCAGTGTGATTCCTGATCTCTTATATTGTTATTACGTCAAGTTTACATTCAAGTTAGATCACTGGTCTGATATTTATTTGTTCTCTTTCAGGCAAAGAAGTTGGTGTCTGAATATGAAGCTCTACGCAACAAGAATTTGGCCGACAACCAGGCTGTGGTGAGGATTTTGTTTTATAATGTTCCTAAACATGGCATCTGTAGTGTGATGTTTCCATGTAAGTGTTGAATAATGGCCAAAATGGCCACCAGTTTCTGATAAGCACGATCATGATAACATTGACCTCAAAGGTATGGGTCAGCACCATAGGCACCCGACTCTGATATATTTATGAGCATGACCTATATATATATATATGATATAAGAAAGGTGTGTCAGTAAATCGAAACAAAATGGCGGCTCGGGTTCGGTCTGACCCGCTTCCATCGCTTTGACCGTTGAATAAACTGCACAATTTATACTCAGTTGACCTCTGTAAAGTACCTTGCTTATCACAAACCTGATAATTTTATTCCCATTTAAAGCTTTCAATAATTTTGCCATCCTTTCTCGGACAAAGTCAGGACATATGCCAGGAAGTAAACAAATCTCGGGCTACAGACCTGCACCGAATAGTAGAACGAGTCTCTGATTGGATAGCATCTTCTATTATTCCCACCTCTTTTAACGTGCAACTATATTATCCAATCAGAGACTCGCTCTACTATTTGGTGCAGGTCTGTTGCCTTAGATTTGTTTACTTACGGGCATAAGACAGAAGCCGTGTTACGATTCTTTACGGAGAACGCTGTGGCGGGGATATTGATGATCATGTCTTCTTGTTTAGAAAACCTTTAGATTTTGTTTTTCAAAAACCTATGCAATGTTTTTCTTTTCTTTTGCAGTTGGCTAAATTGATGGAAGATTTAAAGAAAAGCTTTCCGCAAAAACCTCCACCAAGGGTAAGTTAATGTAGACAACATGAGACATCATCAAGGAATCTGATCTTTATGTATCGATGCATATTATACACTGCTTACAGAGAAGACACCTGAAATAAACGAAGAAGCAATCAACATCTTAACTCATTGCAAAAATTTATTTACATCTGCTCAGGCGTTTAAATACAACCCGAATGGCAGCTAATGTCCGAGGTTGTCCATGCTGGAAGTTCTGTTCAGATACTTCTTGTGGTTTAGTAGAGCTGAACAATATTTAACTGATAAGGCCGATAAAGTGAAAAGGGCTCTATGGCTGTAAATGTTTGATGTTGTTTTGAATGGATTTTCCCATTTCATTCAAATGTTTTTCTTTCTCCTTTTGAAAGAATATTTGTCTCCTGAACAAATGCTAACACTTGAAGGAATGGTGTAAATCCAGCTAGGGTCCATGCAGGTAACAAAAGTACTGTAAGTCCCCATGGTCCCTAGTATGGTGACATATATCTTCAGTTGCTGGCGTCCCATAGCTCATTTTTATATTGTATTGTTCTCTTTGATATCGTTTTAAGATGACAAGCTAGTTTTACTTTAATATCTGTGATACACTCGTAGTTTTACTGTTCATCGACATGTTTTTCTTTCCATTTTTTGTTTTTTTTATATATATAATTGTTCTCACAATATGGCTGAAATATTGCAGCTGTAAATATTAACTCGCTCACTTGAATGGGATTGTTAAAATATTTTGGAATTAAACTGAACTTCGAATGGAAATTCCTGGGGGTTTTTTTATGAGTTGCTCTTTTTCCCCTCTCTTTTATCAAAAAGGCAGGAACAGACCCTTGATCATTTTTGGTAATCATTTCATCTCTATTGTGACCATCTCTTTGGTGTAGTGGTTATAGTGTCTGTCTAGAGAGCGATCCCCGACCAAAAGATGTTAAAATTTGGTACTTGTTGGTCCCTGCCTGGGACTCGGCGTTAATGGGTCCAACAAGGACTGGTCGGCTCGGTGTCAGTATAATGTGTGTGAGTGGGGTATTCATGCTTAACTGTGGTATGGTGTCTCAGTGAGCTGCCACACATACACACGCATGCATGTCGTCATATGAGTGACATATTCTTGAGTGCAACGTTAAACCCCATTTCACCTCACCTGGTCTCTATTGTATTATGTAGAAACCACGTACCTCGAGGAAGAGCATCAGTGAAGGTCCCATTAGACGGAACCCGTCTCGCCATGCCAGGAGTACTTTCAGTCTGGACCCTCCCCGCACTCGAGCACGCAGGGGGTCAGTGTCATCAACAGTGTCTTCTGCATCCTCTTCAACATCACCTTCATCGTCGCCAGAGGTGAGAGCAAATTGAGGTCTTATACATACCATGTCGACTATCAATGGGTTGTGGGAATAGTGTTGCAGAACATGTTTCCAGTTGTGGATTGGATGGTCAGATTACAGAACTTGACAGATGATTTTCCTTGTGTTCATAATACATCACTTGTTTAGTCCTAGGCCAAATGCTAGAAAATTCCCCATCTTTTAGGATCTCTCAGCAGCGGTAAAAGTGTTCTCCAGTAATTAGTATGACACCTTTCACCCTCCAGGAATTCTTGATATGGAATTAGCCACTAAATGTATCAGGTTACTAAAAACAAACACGGTTTACCCCACTGTTGAAACAGTGTCCACATGTTCATAGACCAACTGCATGAGTGTTAACCACATGGTCAAATGGACGGCGACAAGCGCTGGTGTTCAACATGGTCAAGATATGCAGTATGGGTGATAAAGATGGGTCTAACATTACCAACATATAACCTGATTTAATGCTACCTCGACAGGAGTATACCGGTACTTGCAATGTCCATCAGTGTATTGTCTGGTTCAGATTTGATTGATTACTGACTGGCTGGCTTTTGTAGCTAAAATATTGATTGCATGTTAGCTGTTATTAAAGGGGAAATTATGAATATTGATTCAGTAATGTGAGACACACGGCATTTCCTAGTACATCTGGACTCCATCTGATGGAGTGAGAATATACGCTGAAACATTGTGTTCCTCAGGGCGGTGGGGTAGCCTAGTGGTTAAAGTGTTGGCTCGTCAAGCCGAAGACCCGGGTTCGATTCTCCACATGGGCACAATGTGTGAAGCCCATTTCTGGTGTCCCCCGCCGTGATTTTGCTGGAATATTGCTCAAAGCATTCTCTTCCCACAGAGGTTACTCCTGTCATATCTTCCTACATAACCTCTGTTCTAATACGGCCATATTTCCCGGTTCTCATAAAATCCCCTAGTGGCAAAAGATCGCAACACGAATTATCTCCCTTCTTTCTATCCAATTAGAACACGTGTTACATCGACTTAGATTCAACTTGACTAACACAAGCAAATGTGAGGCCACAAATATCCCCCATATGCCGGGGACTTGTGTTGATGTTACATACAAGACGTTTAATGGCTAGCTTGTCCGTTGTCAACGAGGGCGATGGAGACACTACTGATCCGCCATAACATGACTGAGTTCTGTCTAGAAGAAACGTTTGCGCATCGCGCAGGGGAAGAGGTTTAGTTTTCTCGAAGTATACGGAAATTACCGAGGCCTTGCGAATGATCACTTTTGAAACAACGTCGCTGATTGCACAACTAAATCTGATTACCTCCAATCACGAGTCTTGAACGCTCACACCATGAAAGGGCCGTATTAGAACAGAGGTTACGTAGGAAGATATGATAGGAGTAACCTCTGTGGGAAGAGAATGTGCTCAAAGCGGCGTAAAACTAAACTCAGTCAGTCAGTCATTGTGTTCCTCATGTTAAAGAAGTTGACATCCATACATTTCTCCTTCATGTGTATCACTTCTAAATGCTATTTAAAGACCTGAAATGTTCTTTACAGAAAATGGTTGTGAGGTTTGGCTTTTTCCGCAAAGCAGATCGTCTGGATGGCGACAGTGATGAGGTGGATTCCAATATGGACGAGGTTGGTATGATTATAGTGTCTTGTGTTGTAATCCGACAGAGGAGTTGCGGATGCAAGTCTTTTATCTGTTAAGGGTGCTGTGTACAAAACAACCTCAGCAATATGGCTACCTTAAGTCTCTGTTAAGGTATGGGAGTTACAGTCACTTAAACGCAAAGACTACCTTAAGTCTTAAGGTACAGGGGTGGAAATAACCCATTGCCCGGCGTCCAACTCCAGTGTTTTTTCTGTCGGGCAAGCAAATTTGTATATCACACTGTAACGTGTCCAGTTGACTTTCCAATGTTAATTATGTTGTTTATTTAAAAAATCAACAAGAAAACAGCTGGTATAGTGTAAAAATTATTAGGGCAAGTGATTTTACATGTGCCACTGTACCGGAGTACACTAGCAATTATAAAGTTATTTCCACCCCTGAGGTCTGAGAGTTAGTCGCCTTATCGCTAAGACCACCTAAGTTTGTGTTAAGGTATGGGAGTTACAGTCACCTTAGTGGTAAGATCGCTGGGCCTATGGCCAACAGAACTATTTTGATTAGTTTTTAGGTACACAGGTAAATTGTAGATTTTATCATCAATTAGTAAATGATTGCGATTCCTTTAACAAGAGGTAATCCTGCAGTTTTCAACACCTTGGTATTATCAGTAATTATCATGATTTGAATCACAACTTGTCGATGTTCTTTCATGTGACCTTAACTTTCAGGATGAGCTCCCGGCTCCTGTGAGGAGGCCTCGAATTGTTGTCGAGGAGAAAGCAGCAGAAGACATCACTGATGAAGACCTTGACCTTGTAGCCAATTTCGTCAGTGATAAGAAGTATGATAGTTACTATGTAAGTAAGGGAAATCAAACACCTGTCTGAAAAATAATTCAATGAATTTCTGAGTAGTCATACTGTAAAAATATTGAAAAGTTCCTTACTGTCACATACTTTCAAACTGTATCATCAGAGAATGGATGACACTGTCGTCTAGGGCTCTGTGCAGAGTTGTGATCAGGAATACGATCAGGCTGTGATGGGGTGACTGGTGTCCCCTGCTGTGATATTGCTGAAAGTGGCATAAAACTGTACTTCCTCACTCACGCTACTTGGTGCGATCAACACATACCGTCATTTACTGCCTCTGTGGTCTAGTCAATAGACTGCCAAGTGGTTGATCCCCGCCGCAAAGGGGAATGTGGGACTATGTATTCAGTGGCGTCCGTATGTATGTCCCGATTCTTGTTAACGCGATATCTCATAAACTGCTGTACCCAATGTATTCAAATTTGGTGACAGCCTACATTAGGGGATTACGCAGACACCAGTCCATTTGGGTGACCTTGACATTATTTTCAAGGTCACCTAGACACTTTGACCACTTTTCAAACTAATTCAACGCGATATCTCATAAAACATTGCACCCAATGTTTTCAGTAATGTCGACAGCCTACATTGCGTTATTATGCAAGCACCAGTCATTTCAGGCATTTTGTGTGTGACGCCACACTCAGCAATATTCCAGCTATATAGCGGCGATCTGTAAATAATTGCGTCTGGACCAGACAATCCAGTGATCAACAGCAGGAGCATCGATCTACGCAATTAGGAACAGATGACATGTGTCAACCAAGTCAGCGAGCCTGACCACCCGATCCTGTTAGTCGCCTCTTACTACAAGCATGGGTTACTGAAGATCAATATTCTAACCTGGATCTTCAAAGGTTTCTTAATGAGAGACAGTACCAGATGGTTTTTCTTGTCATGTCTTGTGCTAGGTGGTAAGAAGATAAAAGAGGAAATGGTCTTCTAATTAGTGGTGGTCCGAATAATTGAAATAATCGAAGATTGATCGCAGTGACCAAACGACCAAGCAATCGATCACATTTTCTCATAATCGAACATAAACGATTTTGGAACTACTGTTTTAGTCTTTGAAATACTTGACAATGGAACATATCGTTGAAGTGTCAGGGCCTGAAAACGTGTTTAATTCTTAGAAAACTCACTTCACTAACTGAAAAGCCATGACTGAATATTTCTTGAAGACTCCGGGAAGTTTATGTTCATGACATATTAGTCATCACCTTAAAGTAACAAGTTGCATCATGTTATAAATATCTGCAATAACAACCTGGATAGGAATATCTGAAAAATGATGCTAACCGATTTTTTTCGATGATTGTTCGTTGGTAATGAAACAATCATCAATTGTGAGATTTCAACCAATTCCCAACACTACTTCTAATAGTCAGAATACTGTGTCAGAGTATCCATGGTACAGTGTATTCAACCCCAGTAGTCCTCACCTGAGGTGCTGTGATTTAATCATGATTGCAGCAATAACTTGACAAATCTGCTGGCGAGGTTTGTCATGATTGATGGCGTATATAACTTCGCCTTTTTGGTTTTCATAATATTTAACCATGGGATGTAGCTGTAATATATCAATGTGGCATAATGCCAATAACCAAATTGAAAATGTTTTATATTACCCTGGTAATGAAGTTGCCTGGGATCTACAGTGTGAGTCCCTTGTTGTACCTGCAGGGTTCGTCGTGTCACCAGTGTAGACAGAAGACGCAGGACATGAAGACAGTGTGCAGGTCTGGCAAGTGTTTCGGAGTCCGAGGACAGGTATTTATTTAAATTTCAGTCAGTATTTGTTGAACTGAAATGTGTTTCCACTGTGGTATTTACGCTTTCACAACTTGAGAATTACATGATCAGGACATGGGTGTCTCAGTGGTGCCTCAGTGGTGCCAGACCCATCAATTAGCAGTGCAGTCTGTCAGAACACCAGTATGAATCCCAGTTCACCACGGTTAGGATTGTAATTTTTTGTTATCATCCAGACTTGGACTTCACATCTTCCCTTCCCAAGTCAGTTCTGACTGGAATAGTGCTGGGAACCCTGTGAATGTTTCCAGTTTCAACATACCTCATCTAAACTCGCCCTCATGTACGATCAGGCCAGAACTGTGTAATTGTGTACTCTGTTATAGTGAGTTGTGTTAATGGGGCAGTGGGGTAGCCTAGTGGTTAAAGCGTTTGCTCGTCACGCCGAAGATCTGGGTTTGATTCCCCACATGGGTACAATGTGTGAAGTCCATTTGTGGTCTCCCCCCGCCGTAATATTGCTAAAAGCGGCGCAAAACCGTACTCCCCAATTTGGACGATAGATTGACAATTGGCATGAAGATTCAAGTGATTATAATGTGACTGCTAGGTGATTGTGTGAGGTGGGTTGAAACTGGAAACGTTGCAATGAATGAGACGGGATAAGTATCATGAAAATACTATTTATTATGAAACTTCCCAAGTTATATCAGCACTATGCTTGTGATGAGTTCCTCTCACGCTATGTTGACATCCTGTGACGTGGCATGACTGGAACGCTGTCACGCAGTAAGAAGCTTCCTTAACATTGATATCTTGTCATCAGAGACAGTTGTATTCCACATTGGTTTGATCAGTTGGTACAGCCCTTATTGGACTTCAAGCATGTTCTGTTTCAGTTTTGTGGCCCTTGTCTCAGGAATAGATATGGGGAAGATGCTAAAGAAGCGTTAAAAAAACCCTGTAAGTAAACGTCTTTTTGAAACTTTTGTTTAGCTGATCAATTTTCAACTGAGTAACGACCCGTGAAGATCCGGGGTAGAATGTGCTTGCCATAAAAAGGCGACTATCTTGTCGTAAGAGGCGACTAACGGGATCGGGTGGTCAGTTTCGCTGACTTGGTTGACACATGTCATCGGTTCCCAATTGCGCAGATCGATACTCATGCTGTTGATCACTGGATTGTCTGGTCCAGACTCGATTATTTACAGACCGCCGCCATATAGCTGGAATATTGCTGAGTGGGGCGTAAAACTAAACTCACTCACTCAACTGAGTAACCTGTTGGCCAATGCTTGATGTGGTTGCCTGATGTGGTGACCTGTTGCCTGATGTGGTGACCAATGTTGTTACTTGTTGCCTGACGTGGTGACCCGTTGCCTGACGTGGTGACATGGTGCCAGATGTGGTAAACAATGTAATGGCCCGTTGTTGCCCGATGTGCTGACCAATGTGGTGACCAATGTGGTGACCTGTTGCTTGATGTGGTGACCTGTTGCCCAGTGTAGTGACCTGTTGTCTGATGTGGTGCCCAATATGGTGACCTGTTGCTCGATGTCCTTACCTGTTGCCCGATGTGGTGCCCAATGTGGTGACCTGTTGCCCGATGTCTTAATCTGTTGTGTTGACAAGTCACCAGTGTGTCTCCTCCTGATAATTTCAGGGATTTACCTCTAGTCCTGTATTTCGGTGTTCGGGCTCCTTGAACATAAACAAACATTGAGGGTACATCAGCCCATGTCCCCCTCGAGACCAGTGAACAACTTATATTGTATACATGCTGCCAATATGGAGCGGGGATATTGCAGTCAGGCCCCAGAAAGCAAACAGGCAAAAAACAATACAAGCTGTCACAATCTGCTTGATGTGTTGTTGAGTTCATGATTAAACATGTTAACTCGCATGTCCAATCAGCCCCTAACTCTTGGGAAAGCCTAGTGGTTAAAGGTCGACACACTGACGACTCTGGTTCGATTCCCCACATGGGTACAGTGCATTGTCGTAAGAGGTGACTAATGGGATCATGTTTTGAGACTCACTGACTTGCTTGACACATGTCATCAAATCCCTATTGCATAGGCCGATGCTCATGCTGTTGATCACTGGAATTATTTACAGACCTCGGCCATGCAGCTGTAATATTGTTAGGTGCGGTGTTATACAAACCGACCAAATCACTCAGTATGTGCATTACTTTCCCCTTCAGAGTTGGATGTGTCCCCCGTGCAGAGGTATCTGCAACTGTAGTTTTTGTCGAAAGAAGGCTGGCAAGTCCTGCACTGGGATCCTCATCCATCTAGCCAGGGAGAATGGTTTCAGTGATGTCAACGCTTATTTACAAAGGTGAGGAGGAAGGAACTATTTCCAGACAGACAGACAGATATTTATTCAGTATAAAGGCCACTGGCCCAAAATACAAACATATTGACATATAAATTCTGCGCATTGTACAAAATATGTTATAAAACCATGGAAAATTTATATAAATTTCTTAGTTATTACTCCTGTCAATAATTGGCTGGACCTTATATAAATATAAGGAAATCTTTCTCAACTGACTGAAGTCTTGAGCTGATATTAAGTTAACAAATGTAGCATCATAATTACACATAGATATGCCCAGTATATTATGCTGCAACTGATGATATTGTTCACAGATTAATAATATATGTTCTTCATTCCCAATGTAATACTTCCCTTGTGTTAAACAATACTGGCACAACCTGTCTCCATACAATGTAGAGGAGTATCTTCCCTTATTAACAGCAATTCTAAAGTTACGACATCTAAATCTGGCTAAAACAACCTTAAACTGTAATGGTAAGGATGACATAAGATATGTTTCAACTTGTAAAAGAGATTTAAACTTTTTGTATAAAAAAGAATCTGACAAATTATTATCTTGCATATGCCATTCCTGCTTAAGGTTATCAGTTATTTTTGGTTCCAAGTTTCACATTTTGTGATGTGAAAGTTGACATAATGAGGTTTGCGGCGTGTGATTGTGATATCATCTGCTTACAACATGGATGGCTGCTCATGCTGTCAACCACTGGTTTATATGACGCTAAGCATCGGACCCGTGAAGATCCATGTTAGAATTTGAGTAATTCAGTAACTCATGCTTTTTGTAAGAGGCAACTAATGGGATCTGGTGGTCAGGCTCGCCAACTTGGTTACACAAGTCATCGTGTCCCAATTGCGAAGAGAGATGCTCATGCTGTTAGTCACTGGATTGTCTGCGGAGTGAAACTTAACTCACACACTTACTCATTCACTTTAAGCATCCTGCTTATGTGAAAAACATAGTGCCCCAAACTGAAAAAATCTGTTAGTCTCAGTGGCGGTGGTGTAGCTCACCATGCTGGTAGCCTGGATCAACCACATGGGTACAGTGTGTTAAGGCCTTTTCTAGTGTCCCCTTGTCATGATGTATTGCTGGAATGTTGCCGAAAGCAGTGTAAAACCCGACATACAACATATGTCAGTCACAGGTTTTGATCTTAGTGTCAGCCCTAGTCTGCTTAAATAGAGTTTTTGGAACACTGTTAATTGCTGTGTAAAGCTTTCTCTCACTTACGTCTCCCTGTACCAGTTGGATGTGTTACAGAACCATTCTTTGTCTCGTCATTCCAACAAACAACTTAACATGTGCCTATCTGTTCCAGTTTCAGGAAGTAACACTCAACTCACAAGAAGGCAAGGTGGTAAAGAGGCAGCTACGATGGTTTCTGCATCTGAAAAGGCAGCTGCGATGGTTTCTACATCTGAAAAGGCAGCTGCGATGGTTTCTACATCTGAAAAGGCAGCTGCGATAGTTTTTACATCTGAAAAGGCAGCTACAATCGATTTCTGCATATGAAAACGCAGCTTCGATGATTTCTGCATCTGAAGACGCAGCTTCGATGGTTTCTGCATCTGAAGACGCAGCTTCAATGGTTTCTGCATCTGAAGACGCAGCTGCGAAGCTTCGATGGTTTCTGCATCTGAAGACGATGGTTTCTGCATCTGAAGCCGATGGTTTCTGCATCTGAAGCATCTGAAGCAGCTTCGATGGTTTCTGCATCTGAAGACGCAGCTTCGATGGTTACTGCATCTGAAGAGGCAGCTTCGATGGTTTCTGCATCTGAAGACGCAGCTTCGATGGTTACTGCATCTGAAGACGCAGCTTCAATGGTTTCTGCATCTGAAGTAGGCAGCTTCGATGGTTTCTGCATCTGAAGACGCAGCTACGATGGTTTCTGAATGTGATGAAGATCTGACAAATATTAGACCTTCCCCCCCACTCCCCCATCAGCTCAAGGTTGTCTTTATTGTCTTCTGTGGAATATCTTGTTTTTCATGACATACAATATTGCTTCGAATGTTTGTTTTTAAATACTGTTACTCGTTACTTCTAACAAAAATGGCTATTGTTGAAAGTGATTTCTTTCTAATGACACCATTACTCTTTGCATTGTCCATTAGTGGGAAGATTTTCCTACTGTTTTTATCATGTTACACATTACAGTACGGTTTTGTTAATCGGAGTGTGTTCGGTCTTCTGGCTGGCAAAATGTTTGGAAGTGTTCAAGTGTTCACTTTGAATTTTAGAATTGTGTGAACTTTAGTGGATATTTAGCTATTATAGTACTTGCTGAAAGATTAGACTGATATTAATTACACACCTAGTGAAACTGCAGTGTTGGTAGATTGGTACTTCAAATTTTGACAATCACATTGACCAAAATTCTGGTATCATGTTTCCAGCTGAGACAATTTTTAGACTCAGGTAGATTTGTGAACAAATTTTGTAGGGGTAATCATATCCTTTGCGCTTTGACAGCATGAAATGATTGACAATATACAGAATTATCTAACTCGAAAGAAGTTAAAGACCATCCAAATACCTTCATATCACTGTAGCTACTGTTTCCTGGCGTAACTGTCAATGTGACTATGAAAGAATTGGCTGTAGTGTAACTCAAGTTCTGTCATTTGGTATGCACTTATAAAAGAACAATAACAACTGAAGTTACCATGTGTTTCCAGTTTCCTTGAGAGCATTTTTCACATGCTTCTTAAAATGATTATCATAGCTTACTTTGCTGATTAGTTTGTAATATTTGGTATGTGTGGCTAGTGGTGGGATTAACATGAATGCTCCATTTTTGTTACACAGTTTATTTTATAATTTGACCCTGATCTGGCGTCACACCATCAGGTAAAGGAGTACATTTGGACAGGAATTGAGACGAGACCTCCACCCCACTCCCCCATGCCACTCAGTGGGGATCACTTGTTGTAGGGCACTGTTAGCTTTTACACTCAATTAGCCTTTTTTATTGTTGATATATTATGAATAAATATTTTCATTATTTGTTTTTAGGTTGTCACTGCAGTACAGACAGTTTAGTGTTTCTTCTATAGTTTTGTATTTACCTTTAATGGCGTATTGAACACATGCTCCATGAAGTTCTTGGTTAGAATTGATCTTCAGTAACCCATGCTTGTCGTAAGAGATGACTAACAGGATCGGGTTTTCAGGCTCACTGACATGGTTGACACATGTCATGGTATCCCAATTGCGTATGCTCATGCTGTTAGTCACTGGATTGTGCCCAGACTCGATTATTTACAGACTGCTGGAATATTGCTGAGTGTGGCGTCAAACAACAACAACAACAATTAATTTACTATTGAACACGTACCAGGTCTTGGGCCCCTATAGTATACTAACAAAAAAAAGTAACTGCCTAGCAAAAAATTGCATAAAATAAGTTGTCACTGCCAAATAAGTCTAAATTTACATGCTTGTAAATGTCTTGTAAAGATGAGGTTTACAAGACGTTCACATTTTTGTAAAGATAACATTTACAAAAAAATATATACATGTATCAATTTTGTAAATATTCACAAAGGGAGATAACTGGTGTTTAATGCTAAATATTTTTTCTTCCTTTATAGTGCCATTAGTGTGTTAATATACATCCTGAAACAAAGGGAACTATTCTTTATTATAAAGAGTTTAATATTATTTCCAGAAAAAGGTAGGAGAAAATTGGCTGAAGATTTAAACATTTAGCTAAATATGTAATCATCCCCAGCCGCGCCGTATATAACAACCTGATTTGTATGCATTTCTACTTGTTACAAAGGCGGCTAGGGATGCCTCATCTTTGCGTTTACGAAATATGTTCAAGAAATGACACCGCTGCTGTTTACAAGATTGACACGTATTGTTAAGCCAATAGTCATGGTCCAAAGCTATCATCCCATTTTATAGAAATGGAGATAAAACTTTACCTGCAAATTACAGTGCCATATCACTTCTCATGTATTTGGCAAACTATGCTGTAAGCCATTAAAAACGCAATTGGTATTTGTTGTCCTGAAACTTACAAAAGTTCTATTGAAGATTTTTGTCCTGCGATACAGGATGTAGGGATAAAAGGCTGTTATTCTGGCCCATTTCGAGTTCGAGTCCCGGAGCATTCCTCTCACATGAACTTTGATACTTAAAACTGAACCTTTGACATTTCTCGTAAACACAACCACATTCATGAAACACGTTGTTCACATGCATTACCTGCACCCAGGCCCTGTAAAAGCACAAGGAATTGTGGAACTCAATCACTTTGAGAAAATGCCACACTTGACACAAGACGAAAGGAATCAGGTTATCGGTATGGTCAGCCAAGGTGCTTCAGATGTGATGATTGCCAGGCACTTTAATGTGCATCCATCCACTGTAAGTCGACTCAGACAACGTTTTCGGGCTACCGGAAGTGTTGCTGATCGTCCGCGACCTGGTGCGCCACCTGTGATAAAAGCTCGACAAAACCGAATATCCGAGTTTCACACTTGTGAAATCAGTTCCAAACAGCTGATGATTAGGCAAGGAGCACAATGTCATTTCAGCGCCCAAAAGGTGCAAGGATGCCTTGCTGCCTTCAACATCCGGTGTCGTCACCCGTACCGTGGTTCAACCTTATTGCATCGCCACAGACTTGCCAGACAGGGATGGGCAGCAAATGGGGCCAATCTTGGCAACAGGACATGGCCAGATGTCATTTTTTTCAGATGAATCCAGGTTTAACTTATCAACAGATTTATCGACTAAAGGAGAAAGACTTGCGCCAAACTGTGTCCTTGAACATGATCGTTTTGGAGGGGGTGGTGTCATGATCAGACCACAGACCATCAGAGGCTGCAGACCATCCAACAGCTGTTCCTGAGAAATTTGTGTCTTTGAATGCCCCAAAGACTGCGAGCATGTCTTGCAGCGCACGGTGGACACACACGATATTGACTGCAAGTGACCCCTCCTTTGTGTGATGTCTTTGCGTCACTGATGTTGTTGTTTACTGGAGGGGCGGTGGGGTAGCCTAATGGTTAAAGCGTTGGCTCGTCACGCCGAAGACCTGGGTTCGATTCCCCACATGGGCACAATGTGTTAAGCCCATTTCTGGTGTCCCCAGCCGTGATATTGCTGAAATATTGCTAAAATTGCGTAAAACTAAACTCACGCACTCATTTTACTGGACATTTTCAGATGAAATTATTCACAGATGTTCACTGAAAACATATCTGCCAGTTAGGTTTATATATGTTGAAATTAGTGCGAGTAAAGAAAGTATGAATGTCAAATTGCATTTTTAAGGGCTTTCAGTATATATACTAATATCTTAACAATAGACTTGTATTCTGGGCTGAGTGCTGCAATACAATTAAAGACGAACAACCTGGTTTCAGATTAGGATACTCTACCATTGATAATATCTTTACCATACAGGCCCTTGTCAGTAAATACCTCCCAAAAAAAAAAAAGCTCTGGTATCTATTCAAAAAGAACGGACTTGGTTCAAAAATGGATAAAGTTTTGCGGTCTGTGTACCAAAATGTGAGAGCATGTGTTCGTTCATCAAATAATGTAAACACAGAAGTATTTGAATGTCCTCTAGGGGTATGGCAAGGTTGTGTTCTTAGTCCATTTCTGTTCTCATTTTTCATTAATAAATTGGTCGATGAAATCACGTCCACTTGTACAAGGGGCGTTCAGTTATTGCCTGACTTACTTGAGCTGTTCCTTCTTTTATTTGCTGATGATGTTCTGTTTTCTGTTAATTAGACTCCAAGAGCAAATTGATATTTTAGAGAATTACTGCGAAACATGGAGTCTCCAAGTAGATTTAAACAAGACAAGTATTGTTGTATTTAAACATGGGGGGCAGACTTTCTAGAACGGAAAAGTGGATCTACAAACTTGCTCCAATTAAAGTTTCATCATCATACAATTACCTTGGTATGCTATTTACCAGAAATCTCACTTGGCAGGCATCTTTTAACAATTTGACTCTCAAAGCTAAGAAGGCTCTAATAACTGTTCAGCGTAGTTTAAGTTCGAAAATCTCTCATATGAACTATGTTTTTAAAGTCTTTGATACTAAAATGCTGCCAAAGGTTTAAAAGCATTGAAAAAATAGTTGCAAGCATGTAAACGATTTCTGGGCATCCGCAGATCAGCAACTAGTGATATTGTATTGGGTGAATGCGGAAGATACCCAATCAATATCTTGGCACTGAAACGTTCTGTTTTATATTGGTTGAATCATCTCAATGCGTCCTCACCACTATCCCTTAAAAGCCTTTAACATGTTAATGTATTTGGTTGAAAATGCAAATGAAGGTAGAAATAAACATAACTGCGCTATGTTAATTAAAAATACATTGTTCCATCTTGGTCTTGGATGTGCATGGGTTGGACAGGGAGTTGGGGATGCTACAGCTTTTTTATCCATTGTTTAACAACGATGCAAGGATTGCTTTCAGCATGAGTAGACAAGAAATATTCAAACTGGGAAATGTTCATACTCGTATTCTTTGTTTAAACAACATTTTGTGTGTGAAAAGTATTTAACAGTTGTAAATATAAGGGCATTAGGAGTATCGCAGTTTGGATGTGGTTATTATGATTTAATGTACATTTTTAACGAATATGTCATGCTACTGAGAACCAATCTTGCAAAATGTGACGGATATTACTGAAGATGAATACCATGTCCTTCTGATCTGTCCACTGGGCGGTGGGGTAGCCTAGTGGTTAAAGCGTTGGCTCGTCACGCCGAAGACCCGGGTTCGAATCCCCACATGGGTACAATGTGTGAAGCCCATTTCTGGTGTCCCCTGCCGTGATGTTGCTGGAATATTGCTAAAAGCGGTGTAAAACCTCAGTCAGTCAGTCTGATCTGTCCACAGTATGAAGATCTAAGGAGCTATTATACACCATCTACGTAAAGGTCCTGTCCCACATTTTACAAATTCTGTATACTAATGTCAACCGAAAATGTACAGCTACTTCAGAATATTGCCATGTTTATACACCAATCACTGTTAAAACACAAACGCGTTTGTGCCACTCACCCATTATAACTGTTTTTACGTGTACTATTGGCCTCTGGCCTACAGTTCAGAGAGCGGAAGGTCACGGGTTCGATCCCCGACCGCGTCATACCAAAAGACGTTAAAATATGGTACTTGTTGGTCCCTGCCTGGCGCTCGGCATTAATGGGTACAACAAGGACTGGTTGGCTCGGAGTCAGTATACTGTGTCTGAGTTCGGTATTCATGCTTCACTGCGGCATGGTATCTCAGTGAGCTAGCACTATAAAACCAGCTTAAGTCTGGGCTAGTACAAGCAGCCGCACATACACATACACACGCATGCACGTCGTCATATGAGCGAAATATTCTTAAGCACGACGTTAAACCCAATTTCACCTGACCTCACCTACAGTTCAGAAATAAAAAAGAAGTGTTCTGTTAACTTTGAAATAAAGGTGAATTAAATGTTGTTCCATAGTCAATTTTCCAATGTTGATGAAAATGGCATCATACAGAAGTTTGTTTCACATTTTTGGTAATCCTGTATTTTATGCAAATGAAATAATTCAATACCGAACACATAATGTCATGCTTCTCTCAGTGAGTTAAGAAATGTATTTCAATGTGTTTCAAATTAATTAGATATTTCCTTTTCCTCAAAACAGAATTCACAAATTATGTGTGCGTGCGCATGCACTTATATATAACATCTAAACTATAGAGCTCGAAATTGGACTGATGAAAGCTAATAAGCATACAATACTCAATGAAACGCTGATCATAATCACATCAGACCAACTTTTGCAAATTTATGTCCTAAAAATAAAAATAGAAAGTTTTTTAGCACACTATCATTAACTTTTTGATACAGATCACTATTTGTTACGAGGGAGGGATGGAAAAAGAGGAACAGATAGGTGTACGCGAAACACTTGCAAAGTGTCGACAAAGTTATTGATTCATTAACTGTGCTGTGTCGTCTCCGCCTTTTCTCTCACATGATGCATCTACACTTTACTGTAAATTATTGGAAAACATCAATTTTGTTTATAGTTTTTGGTGGTTCAAAAAAGAAATATGTGTGAACAGATACTAATAAATAGTTCACCCAAATAATGTGTCAAAGATTACAAGTATCTTGGAATATATTCTAGGTAATATATGTTCTTGGTAAAAGTCGAATCTTTTCAATAAACAACCAATTATATGTCTTTGATCAGATGGTTAAGCCAGTTCTGTTGCATGACTGCTAAACCTGGGGTTTTGAAAACTGTAAAGTTGTCGAATCTGTTTTTACGCAAATTACTGCCTGTTAGACATGCAGGCCAGTACACATGCTATATGGTGAAGCTGGAAGGGCACCCCCAATTTACTCTATCAAATGCTGTATGGTATTCCTATCTGGCAAAGAACAAAAGATGACCAGAAGTTTATACCAAATGTTTTATAATGAAAGTAGTATACAGAATGGGGGTTCTGTTACAGGCCAACTAAGAGCGTCATTATATGCCAATTCCGCTCCCAGCCCCAAGTATAAATTAACGATTTCGAGCAGAGGCATCATTCGATGCACAGCCCAGACCCTCATTTTCGCTCGACATGCGCCTTAGAAGCTCCCCCCCAATGTCAGTGGGGGTTCTGTTACAGGCCAACTAAGAGCGTCATTATATGCCAATTCCACTCCCAGCCCCAAGTATAAATTAACGATTTCAAGCAGAGGCATCACTCAATGTACAGCCCTAGACCCCAGTGGTGGGCCTTAGAAACTCCCACCCACTGACGTGGGGGGTTCAGTGGTTTATGAGCATGTGCCCGTACGCGTAAGTCGTGACGCCGTCGGCGGCGATCCACCGTTTGGTATCCAAGGGCGACAGCGACGTCTTGTTGAGGGTGATGCCGTAGATGTGTTTGTCGCTTCTCAACGCATTCATTCGGTGTTGGAACGTCTTATAGCCAAGCATTTGCTAAGTATTTGCTAAGTATTTGCTAAGCATTTGCTAAGTATTTGCTAAGCATTGCTAAGCATTGTTAGAAGTTTACGGGGGAGGATTGGGATTCCCATATAGACATATAGGAAGTATGGGTATATATATGCCCAGGTAAAAACAACCATGCCACCAAGAAGAGATTTGTCTTCAGACAAGATCCAAGAAATACGCTCACTTCGAGGGGTGCTCCCAGCAAGCGAGGTCAAAAAGCGCTTCGGTATTGCATCCACAAGACTACAACATATGGCGAGATCCGATGGAGGAAACCATACCACCACCGCCAGTCGAAGAAGAAGTGCCACCACCAGAAGTATCGTTGCCGGTGACCGAACTATTACCACAAAAGGTGACTCGGGATAGATCGAAAGTAGCAATACCCGATAGTATGTTTCCAACCATCCAGGACTTCTACAACTGCCTGGGGAACATCGAGACTCGTGCGAGGCAAACGACAAATATGTTGGTTGACGTCTTGTCTAGGCCGGACATCGACGACGACAACGAGGATGATTCCAAACTCCTCTGCGAGGAAATAGAGGAAGAACAAGAAGAGACCCATTTCGATATACAGAAGGTAGGGCAGATGGTGGAATCGACCCAAAGATGCGTTTGTGCGTTTGAACAACTACAGAGCAAGATATCAAGAGAGGTTGATTGGTCATGTTTTTGTTGACATTTAACTTCATCTTAAATTACGACCTTCACTTTCATTACTTTGTAAGTTTAATTTGATAATTTGCAGCGGGGGATTATGTCACCTTAATGACAGTGCTTGTTCAAAGCTGAATTTGACATACATCCCTTTCTCCTTGGTTCTTAAATTCCTTTTGTTTAGAATTTTCTGCCTTCTTTCCTGAAAACTAAATCTTCCAAGTAAAACAACCCGCCATCCTATGTACTCTTAATTGTATATTCGTATCTATCTCAAACAACTCGTCTCCGTGTATGTACCCCAGCGAAGTCTCCGATCCTCCTCTGACTCTCCTCATCCAACACATATCTCCAAACCAACTGTCTGACCGAACCTTTTCCTTTGGAACTCGTTTCCACAGGAAATCAGGAACACTTCATCGAAAGAAACTTTCAAATCTCTGCTAAAGACCCATCTGTTCACTGCTGCCTTTCTGTAAAAGCAGAGACCATATAATAGACTTACCCCTTCTACATGCAGCCCAGACAGCGAATGGGACTTCTCCCAGGAAACGCTGCCTAGTCGAACCCACCAAGAACTTTCCAGAGAATATGAAGGCTCCCCAACACTGCAGCCTTCTGCATTACCCAGGTGCCAGAAGGGCTGTGCTTCCAGTGGAGAACCTGGGCACTCTCCTGATCTGCGCCAAGAGATCAGGAGGTACCAAACCGGGTTGTAGTCAAAAGGGCCGAAGGAGAAAAGGGCCGAAAGAAAAAGTCATAAGGGCCGAGGCTAAAAGTCAAATGGGCCGAAATGAAAAGTCGAAAAACGGGCGAAAATTAAATAAAATTTAATAAATAATAATTTAATAAATTACGTAGTAAATTAGTATTAATAGTGTTTAGTTTGTTAATTTTGTTATTTTCAATGGAATTTGAACATGAGACTCGGTGTCAGGACTAATCCGTATGGGATGTTTGTTTTTGTTGTTGTTGTCGACTCAGTGTCTTAACTAATGAACTCACTTCAATTGACAATATGGTATATAACCTGCTTCCCAACATACAACATTCACAACACTAACCATGGCTGTCCAGTGTGCGCAGTGCTCTAAGACTATAAGAAGAAATCAGCATGCCTTCAAGTGTGATCAATGTCAGTCATGGACACACAGGATTTGTGGCACAGGGATGACTCATAGCGGCTACCTAGACTTATGCAGAAGTGGGGAAGAATTTAATTTCTTGTGACATTTATGCAAGACAAATATTCCCAACTTCACTCTCCAGTTGGATTCTTCAATAGATGCTCCATCAGTTGCTTTCGATGACACTCTTGAAGTTCAGGAAGTGTAAGTATATCTAACATCATAATGTATAACATATAACTTAATGCCGATCAAACAATTATATCTATTATATATTTTCAAGTTTATGTATTTAATAACACAATTTTTTTTGACATGACAGATCAATGGAGCAGGATATTCTTGCGGAGGAGCGGGAGGTGGAAGATCCTCCATACACGTTGGTATCCGACAGCTCACAGAAATCAAAACCCAAGCTGGTAGCCAGGAATGGATTCACCTACGTAATAAAGGTTTTGTTATATCTTAATCCTTTTATATCAACCATACTATACCTGGATATTTCTGTATTGTTTTTGACGTTATATTAACGTTATTTAATTACATCTTTCAGGAGGTCACTCAGAATAAGATTTACTACAGATGTAGCAAACGTCCCTGTAAGGCAACTGTTGCCGAGACCAAATCAACAGGAGACAGAGCGCCAGGCAAACATAACCACAGCCACACAGCAGAGGCAATACTCATATTCCTTTTTCCGTTTCTAGAGAGCGTATCGCGAGAACAATGCAGTTCCTAAATTCATCAGGAAGCTGATGGCTTTGGCCATTCTTCCAGCGGCACACATCAGACCGGTCTTCCGTCAGCTGAAGATGAGAGCGTCGTCACAGAAGCTGGTTGATCTCTGTGACTACATGGAGCGACAGTGGATGAGTCACTCCATCTTCACAGTGGTCAGTTGGTGTGTATTCAACCAGTCAGTCCGCACCAACAACAATGTTGAAGGTATGTATAGTTAGTCATTCAATCGAAAAATGATTAAATTCGATATTTAAATGTCAAAATCGATAATATTTAACACAACAATATAAATTATGTAACAATTTTTTAAATTTTAGGTTGGCATCGCCGGATGAATGTGCAGACATCAGATCAACAACTGGGACTGTACAAGCTGATCCAGCTCTCCATAAAGAAGCCAGTCTCCTGCCGCTCCACGCCCAGCTCCTCCATGATGGAAAACTCACAAGATTTGTGAAGAAGTCGGCGTCTGCTGACCAGGCTGAAATCTTTGCTGCTTGGCGGCTGTACAACTGCGCTACTGACAATGTGTTCCAGAGTGTATGCCCCAAGTGTGTTTGAATGAACGAATGAACAGTGTGTCAATTATGAAGTTGTGTGAATTATGAAATTATGAAGTTGTGTGAATTATGAAGTTGTGTGAATTATGAACGAATGAACTTGTGTGAATTATGAACGAATGAACTTGTGTAAATTGCCATAGTGTTATTGTTGTTAATTATGTGAACTTGTGTTGATTAAATATATGTATTGCCATTATATGAAAACCTGGCTACATGCTTTATTAATGTTATGCTGATATTATACTATATGTGTCAATAAATAATGTAAAACCTTTCTAATCTTTTTTCTGTTCGGCCCATTTGACTTTCACCTCGGCCCTTTTGACTTTTTGTCACGGCCCTTTTGACTTTCACCTCGGCCCTTTTGACTTTTTCCATCGGCCCTTTTGACTGGTTCCCTACCAAACCAAGGGCACCGAGAACAATGGGGAGCCTGACGACAGTGGACTTGGGATGCAAACTAGACATTTCAAAGGCGAGGTCCACATATTTAGCATGTTTTTCCTGAATCTTGCTAATCATGCTGCTGCCAAAAGGAACAGAAAATTCAATGATCTAAATAAATTCATTAGCTTTATCAAAAAGGACAAGATCAGGCTTGTTGCCTGGAATTCTTCTGAGACTGTATATAGGCTTATTCCACAGAAGTTCAAAGCTGTCATTTTCCATGACGCCCTGGACATGTTCAGGGTCATTCCATGGATGGACCTCAGTGTCAAAGCCACAGGCATGGCGAAGGCGATAGTAAAAGTAACGAGCCATGCCATCATGTTTAAGATATACTGTTTGTGCCAAGGAAGGTGTTGGACAGTCTCTGTAAATTCATTGCATATGATTAATATTACTATTATTTTATTATTATCTCTTATGCCAAGTATCCCGAGTTCTGTTCTACCATACTGAAGTTAATTTACAGATTTATCAATCAGCTGTTCAATCAGCATCCAATCAACCTGTTTACAATTTGTTGATCTTACTCTCTCTGGTTGGACCCATCCAACTGTGTGCACCTTCCTACATTACCTGTCGTTATTGTTAATCTGCAGCTTATGATTTCAAACCAACTGTCAAAAGTTATACTCGGGACCTCATGCTATAAAGGTGGGACACCCAAGTAGGAAGAACTAAACTTCATGAATAGAGCCAACAATTGGTTATACCTATATAGTCCTTGATGTCTAATTGGACACATGAATAGGTGTTGGGCTCCCAATTGATTCGAAGACACTCTCCGATATAGTCTCTATTGCTAAGCAAACTCAACAGTATTTTGAATGTCAAGTTTAGGGAAAATTGGCATCGGAAGAGTCCATTGGCCAGGGAGCGGACTGTGGTGGAGGCAGTACTGGTGTTTTGTTCAATACTCCACGCCGACTTGTCACATGCTATTGGAACAACACATCTTCACTATCAAACATTGTATTTCAAAATATTTCTGTGTTACACATTCACAAACAAAGGTCCATTTTTCTCCTTGAATTGTCTCATTTGAAGTCAATTCCCAAATGAATGTATGATTTATATGAAATATAAACGAGTTGAAATAGTTTCAGCCTCTATTAATAACTGACAAGAAACTTGAAACAAAGATCAAGTAAACAGTTAAAACATAAACTCAATCAAGCTGCAAATCTGCACCCAAACTATAAAAAATACAAAACAACATAAATATTCAATAAAAATAAAGTCAATTACTAAACCATCGATAGTCACACATACAAACAATGCATCGATTAATTCAATAATTGCTATCGGAGACTCAACAATTGCAATCCATCGATAGTTCGATGCAGCGTTACAGCTATAATGACTGGGGTGTCGGTGCTGATCACAACACGATTCGACATGTACTGTCAAACATGTCATCCGGTCATGAATCAGTGAGAACCAGGATATTCAGGGGCAGTTATGTATGTGTTTAGCTCAGCCAATGAGCGTAGATGGAAAATAGAACTTTTCGATAATTGCTCATTTGCATTTACGGTTTCTGAAATGGAGAATCCAACTAATACCATGTCAACCATTGTTCTGGTTCTTGGTATAATTTCTTCAACCTAATCAGTGGGACATTAGGAAGGGTGGATGCCCATCAGATGCCGTTATTTGAAAAATATCCCCGGTAGTTCATGACTGATTGTAATAAAGTATCCCAGCAGTGTAGGCTTTTTAAGATTTTCATATGTTTGTATCGTATAGTGACTAATCCAATTTGATCCTATTTCTGTGTTTGTTACCTCGATATTTAATCATGTAAAAATGAGATGTCTATTACGTATGCTATGATATCAAAAACACACATTTGACATATTTGATTCCATAAAGTAAACAACCCCACTTTGCCATTGCAAAAGTAATCTGAAATTTTACTTAGGTACTTATCAGCTGAGTTACAAAACAAACATCGGTCAAATGATTAACCGATAACACGCTGATTGATTAATTGCTTTCATCCTGCACAGCCTAAATAGCATTTATTCTCAGACTGGCGGATGTTCGCAACAGGGCGCCGCCATTTTTAAAAATCGTGACGTCACGGGCTAAAGTCTGTTAAAGAATTAATGAGATTATGGTTGGTTTTCATCTCCATAGCGATTTCTTCCACGGAAGCGAGGTGGGGGGTCGAAATGACAATACTGCGCGATATATTTCTTGCTACATTCACGTGGTTAACGTCCACTCACCAGTATGTAGATACTAGTCAATGTACGTCTTTCTATTTGGTCTTATAATCCTAACTAGTTCATTATCATACTTGTATGCATTTTGAAACTTTAATAAAAAAGTAGGCAATCTGCTGATACTTATAGTGAATTTATAACAGGACTGTAATATCTAGACATTTTATAGTTTGCCAATGTGAATCATAATTCGCACACACACCATAGTGTATGTTGTCTCATTGTCTGTCTCATTACACTTCACGGCGAAAACAATGATACTATTGAATGCTACGACAAATGAATAAAAACAAAATGCAAATATTAAAACTAAATCAGATTAAAGTTATAGGAACAATGTCATGCTATTACCTTGTTCGAGGAATGTATCCATCAATATCCACATAAACGAGCTATTCATCTGCAGCTGTTCCAAGTGATGTGTCTTTTAACAGTCTAATATGCGAAAAAGTGATATATCGTTTCAGGTTTTCACATTGGTGTATAGTCTCATTGGTCACCCAAGATAGCACACCTGGCAACTAACTGCATGATGTCCGCCATTCTTTAAAAAGAAGTAATTTAGTTATCCAGTTATGAGCAATCAATCACTGTATTGACGGTTAATCCTTTGAAAGAAGGACGTTGTTTTATACAGACACTTTACGACAGGGTGTATTCAGTATAGATTAGTAAATCTACATACATAAACACTACCTTTTGACAAAACGCCGTGCAAGATAAAAGTAATTAATCAATCAGCGTGTTATCGGTTAATCCTTTGATCAATGTTTGTTTTTGTAACTCGGCTGATAATTTTTCTCGCTGCACTTCCATGCGCATATTACATAGCATGTAACACATTTTCAACATCAGACTTTTATTTATAATGTTGAGTATTTACTGCAGACACAAGAAATGCCAAATGGAACATTTGTCGGGTAATCTAAGTGGTGTTACCACTAATTATACCTGTTATTAATTCATTAACTGACCATCAAGTGAATGATGACAAATAACGTGTAGGTTTATACCAACTAACCCGGGTTACAACAAGGGAGTATGAATTGCTGTATTGCTTGTCAAAACTTTATGGGCCGACACTGTTTTGAGAATACGAACAGAACGTCGTTGTTGCATGAGAAATACATATAAGCATTTGCTGTGTCCTAAAACTGTATGTACCTATTTACCTAAGTACATTTTCAGATTCTTATAGCAATGGCAAAGAGGGGTTGTTTAGTTTACGGATTCAAATGAATCAAATGTCAATTTTTTAATGTCATACTGAATAGACGTCGTATTTCTACATGACATGATTAAATATCGAGGTGAAAACACAGAAATGGGATCCATCAATTATACCATCCAGGCATTAGAAAACCTGAAAAAGCCTACACTGCTTTGATACTTTATTACAATCAAACAAGAACTACAGGGGATATTTTCAAATAACGGCATCTGATGGGCATCCACCTTTCCTAATGTCGCACTGTTTAGGTTGAAGAAATTAATCGTGTCCGTGATGAGCGAGGCTGATCATCGTTTTCACGTCTGGCTCGAACAAATAAGGCCTAGCGACACCAAGCGATTTTGACAGAATCGTCTATGAAAACAAGTTGTAACTCGGAAGCTAGGCAAAGCAGGTGACAAGATTAAATGACAGTAGATTGTGAGAACATATAGCTTTCATTTTTCACAACAACTGTCATATTTCAGGTTCATACAAACCTGTAAACAAGATAATTTACCCCCTGAAATGTACATGAATTCTACATCGGCCCCCTCTGATTGGTTGAAATTTCGTTCGCGGGAGAGAATTGTGCACTCTTGGCCAAAAGGTCGATTTAAGTTAATAAAGATCGAAATGAGTAGTTTTAATGACGGGGTTTCATTTATAACGATGCCAATTAGTGATTTATGTATTTGTACCCCTCCAGAGTGTATTTGTACCCCCCTAGAGTATATGTGATCTTTAATTCTTTCCCTTTCATTCTTCCCCTTTCATTCTTCCCCTTTCATTCTTCCCTTTTCATCCTTCCCCTTTCATCCTTTTCGGAAATATATTTATTCATTTTCCAACACCAAGCGAAATTATTATGACAGAAACTATATTCTTTAGAACAGGTTAACTAACATTGATATTAATTCAGTAAAGATATATTCAGTACATATATGGGGGTGGGGGGTTGGGGTGGTGTTAGCCTAGTGGTTAAATCGTTGGCTCGTCACGCCGAAGACCCGGGTTCGAATCCCCACATGGGTACACTGTGTGAAGCCCGTTTC